CAGAAAGCCCAGCGGAAACATCACAAGACAGTCACTGCAATGGAACCCACAGGGAGCACGAGGCAGGGGTAGGCCACGGGAAACATGAAGGAGAGGTGTGGAAAGGGACATGAGAGAGATGAAGCTCACTTGGAACGAGCTAGGAAGATAAATGGTAGGAGCTTGTATGTGACCTATACTTATACCCTGCCAGGGGTGAAAGGCACTGATGATGGGGGGATCTTTAACGTGCGTAACATGCACACGGGTCCTTCGAAATGTTTCGCCCTTGTCCGAGAAGGCTAGGTGTAGACCTTTCCTACCATACGATCAGGGGTGTGGCCGACAGACAGCAGAAGTAAGAAGGAGCCGAGGAGTAGCAGTAGAAAGGCTGCAGAAAGAGTCAGGAGCCCAGACGAGGGGGCAAAGGAGGTGAGGTGGAGGGGTCAGAAAGTGGAGATGAAAGCAGACGACAGAATATTGCAAGAGAGCAGGAAAGGATGTGAAAGGAGAACATTTTTAGAGATTAAAATTTTTCGTCGTTATCCGGATTCGAACCCAGGACCTATTGAATAAGAGGCGAACACCGTAACCTCTAGACCACGAGAGCCCACGTCCGTCCTCTGACTTGATACTCTTTAGTCTTTTAGTTTTAGTAAGAGTTTTACGATACTAGCAACATAATTAGATCAAAAAGTGCCGACGATTAGTAGAGTTGTGACAAAGTTACGTGCACAAAAAAGGACTATATATGTTCAACGGGAAAGAAGGAGCAAACCACACCAGAGCATCCACCAACCACCCACCTTCATATAATACTCTATACATTAAATTTCAATTACTTGGAAACTGTTCGTTTTGGGGTTTTTTTTCACCCCGATGTCACGAGAAGAAGAGACGGGTGTGGAGGAAGGAAGGGAAGAGAGTGAAAGCATCGTGCAAGTGCAAGGGATCTGTGTCCTTGGGAAAGGCACTTCACTTTGCACGACACGAACTTACCTCTCTTCACCAAGGAACGAATGGGTACCCAGCCACAGACGGCAAAGGTTCTTGTCACTGTGTCAAGTGTCAGTGTTTTAGTTTTAGCGCTCATTATAAAGTGGCAGCTTCCAATGTAGGCCTATTATTCCCAGGAAGTTGAGATTGTTTCCAAATGCGATCGGGTCTGCGGGGCAATAATAATACAGCTTGTAAAGCGCATCGACCTTGCTGTTGAGCGGGTATCGACGCAGTACAACGGCTATTTTTATGATGATGGAGATTATTTAAAAAAAAAAATTATGATGATTATTTAAGCTTGCCTCCAAGGAAACACACAGAAAAAATAAACAAAAACAAGCACATCTTCCAAGTGTTGAGAATATTTTAATCAATAGATAGCAACATCATGTGAAATTTCATGATAGAATAAAAAATAACAATACATTCCATCAACACCATAGAATTAATATGATTCTAACCTTCATGTGTATGTGTGTATCTATGATCTGTTTACAAAATCAAGGGTAGTGGGCGCGAGTTTCATGATCAAGCATTTATGTACAGCTAGATTTGCAAAATGTCCGTATCCCACAGATGAAACAAAGGCCCAACAAGTAGTTTAGTAACAATCATAAGACATTTTAAAAAGTACGAAGGTGAGAGAGAAAAGGAACAGGTCAGTAAGTACGTGTTAACTTTTTCCAGGATATTTAGTCTTTGTTTAATTACAGATATTATATAGGTACGCAGCAACGACAATAAGTTTGGTGCTAACGCTAACTTCGCCTCACTTTCCCAGTGTCTCCCTATTCCAGCGAGAAGAAAGAAAACGAGAACATGAGGGAAACAGAAGACAGGTGATATCATGAACAACCCTCTTCATAATCACTTTTTTTTTCTTTGTCGTTAACTGTAGTCAGGGATCACGTAAGTGAGCAGAATAGGATAAGCATAAGTGACTGTTATCGATCACACTTTTTGGAGCGTACAGACAGACAAAACATACATGCTATTCTAGTTCTAGCATTTATAAAAAATTGTTACTGCCATTGGCGAAACTCACAAAATAAGCCAGGTTTTTACAACCTTTTTTAAACACTAAGGGAGATGGGGTATTTGCTACGTTTTACAATTGATACTTTTATGCCATGGGTAGGTGTGCTATCATTAACGTTTCACTAGATCATGCAACACACAAAAACAGAATTTTGGGCTTATAGGGGGATTTCAAACATCAGTCACAAGTAAGACTTTGGGGACTCTGGAATGTCTTCAACACTAAGGGCAGGACAGACAAAGTGAACCCACTGTACGCTCCCTATACAATATGAACAGTAATAATACAGTCTAACGCTTACTAGAACTTGAACATCTCCTAATGACCCTAAAGACATTTAAAAACTACTGCAAAAACTAAATTTAAAGTAATTTTTGTAAGTGTTTTACGCCTCCCATTAACACAACTTATATCATTTGGAGACAGGCAGCTTTGATCCAGCCTATCAGGGCCACCCAACCAGGGCTGAGAGAGAAACAGCATACCAGAAGACTAATGGAGTAGATGCTAGACATAAAACTTCCCCACCCAATAATCAAACTCATGTTTTCTGCGTGGGACGGCCAAGAGCCTAACTGCTACATCACAGGCACCAGTATCACGCCTCTAATGACTCCAAAGTTATCAAAAAGCTACAGTAAAAAAAAAAAAGAGCACTTGAAAATACATTATAAGTGAAAACCATAGTTAGGGAGATACGACACAAATTTACACAAGCAGTGGTAACCTTTACACTTCCTTGAAATTGGAACCTTTTTCCTTTCTTTGCATTTACTGGCTCATGCTTCAACATTGAAATGAATGATGCAATACAATTGAAACAAACACATTGAGATAGAGAGTGATTACAAAAAAACCCTTGATAGCAAAGTTATTAATGTATGTGGGATACTATATGATATCTTATTTTTTGAAAATATCTGAGATGAAGTGAAATCCTCTGGTGGCTATGCATGCCACAAACACAACCCATGTCCAAAGGTTTCCGAGTATTAAGAAAATTGCAACACACTCCCTTCTGTGAAAAGAAATATAGTTGTGAATACAAACATTACATAGAAATATCAGTTCTGAAGGTGCATCTTGATGTTGTCTTATCTTTCCGCCAAAGTTTTGATCAAATACAGTAACCACAGAGAGAGAGAGAGAGCAATTTTAATGATCACGGTGCAAAGACAAAAATCTTTCTTGGTCAAAGTAGGACATACTGAAAAAATTCCACCCAGACATTTTTGCATATTCACTTCTTTGGGTCAGAAGTGTAAATGACAAAGCATCAGTTTAAGGAATTCTCAAAATTTTGTCCTCTAAATATTCCCGTCTATGCATTTTGACTATGATGATTGTGCATATATGCCAATGAATGATTTGTTCCACTTGACAGAGGTAGCCGCAGCGCACAAGGATAACAGTTGGGGAAAAAAAAGTATAAATGCCTTTCCTAATTACAAATCAGAGGAAAATAAGAGCCAAATATTGTTGTTACAAAATAAATGCAGCTGCCACATAACAGGTAAGGAGGAATTTATCAAAACTGCCCACTGTGACTCAGTCCAAAATGTCATTGGCAGTGAAGTATTCAAACCCCAACTAAAATGACTAACAAGTTGGAAAAAAACAAACTATATTTTTTTTTATACTCTCCACATGGGAACTGAATATGAACAATAATGCCATGCAGATCAATCTTCATCAAGTTCTCAAAAGTCAACAACACAGCAGGCACCATATTGTGCTCCAAGTGGACTGAGCTCAGAGAGAGAAAAGGAACAGCTATGGTCTGCAGGCACAACGTGGTCTGCAGGCTGGAAGACTCCGGTTTACACATCAGCGAGGCACACAGGAGGGGGCAGAGTGCACCCCGAGAAAAAAATATATAATTGTGAAGGCAGAGAAGTAGCTCAACAAACACCTCGTTGTTAGCTAAACTCACAAAACTATTCATCTCCTAAATCTATCATCAGGTTTTTAAAAAAATCTCAATCACTTAAAAATCATCAATGAATCTTTTCTGAAACCATATTCACCTCATAAGTTGCGCAGAACATTCAATTGTACAAATAAGAATGCCATTGAAAAAGTTGTAATGTGAAGATATTGAAAAATGATGTCTCACTTCTAAGAAAACCTTAACGGTGGTATAAAAGGGTGCACACTTCAGGAACAAAAATCTTTGTGAGGAACACAGGAAAACGGTACAGTTAACAAGCAACAAAGAGAGACACAGAGAGAGAAAGATCACTCTGAGAAAAGTATTGCTTGATCTGCTTCTTTTGCTTTCAAATGCAGCTCTTATTAGAACTGTTTAAAAAAAAAAAAAAGAAACATTGAATTGCATCTTTAAAAAATTATTAAGAAAACAACATATCCAAATTATAAATGTTTTTAAAATCAACAGAATCAATGAGTCAAAATGTTGCTGCTATCAACTGTTAAAGAAAATGCTGGTTTATGTCAATCACCTGTTGGTACATCAATGTTAGTACAACAATATTATCAATATTTGCCCTTTATTTTCATAACACAAAAAAAAAAAGCTCTTCACAATTACCGTGACCAATCATTCATCAAAACTTCATTATTGTATCTTTCTCTTGACAAAAGGGAGGGGGTCATAACATCACAAGGTGAGCCATGATGAGGAATGAGAGATTCTAGGAGCTTTATACAAAGGCAAGGGTCTAGCTAGCCAGCAGGTAGGAGGAGCAGAGGAGTGAGAAGGAACGTTACAGACAGGGCTGAAATAGCCCCAGGAAAGGGGCGAACAAACAATGGGGAGTAACTGTACATTCACCGTTCATGATGCAGGTAATAGATACACAAAATTTACATGAACATATACATACAGTATTGCACTTAGATAAAAATAATATTTCAATCTAATTGATAAATCAGGATAACAAACCAAAATGTGCATCAAACTTATCATAATGATATTATAGTAATTCCAAACAAAAAACACAAGCTCGAAACCACTTTGCAAGTAACATAATATAATCATATAAGCATTTCTTTTTTTCCATTTGTCCAATATGCGCCATCCCTCTACAAGGGCAGTATCACAGAAATTCTTCAGTGCCAGCTACACTGAGCAGAGCCTACATCACTTGACAGGCTACAAGACTACATGGCCAGAGACACTCTCAAAACCTATAACGGCACAGAAAGTATAACTACAGCATGCTGGCAGGCAGGCAGAAACATGTTTAAATTGATTGTAAATGGTATATGCCCCCATTGACGACACAAAGGTCATTTAACGGGAGGGCTGCTTTGAACCCACCTGTTGTAGCCAACTTGGGCTGCGAGAGATAGAGCATGCCAGTATGTAGACAGATTAAGATGCTCCATTTTAAAAAATGCCCCAAAAAACTTTCCCACTCAGTAAACAAACTCACGTCTTCTGAGTGCAACAGTGAAGAGTTTAAACATTATATCATAGATGTCAGTACGAATATGTCTACCAGAGTTACACTACCCACAATGCTGCAAACTAAGCAAAGTTCACACAAGAACAGCAAGAGACCAGAGAAGCAAAGGACTAATTTGTTCCATGCATGGCTCTGCCAGCACAACATGAAATTCTCACACTTTCAATATGCTGCATGCCACAGAATCTCAGGTGACTAACCTATAATACATGCAAATATTTCTCTGTTTAGACAACTCTTTCAAAAAGACTTTAGTCTGTTACCATGTCAAATGTACACACATCTTTCTACATATTCTTTACTTCATGCTTTACACAATATCCCATGCAAAAGTGAACTGGTATAAATCTGGATCACAAATAAAGCTTAGTTGAATAAAAATGCTTAAAACTCAGAGACACACAAAAACAGATGAACCACAGGAAGGAGAAAAGTGCGTGCAGCACCTCAAACATTTCTTAAATCCTCATCTTGAGAGTCACTGGACTAGAATACAAGAACTCTTGAGAGGAAAAAGGCAGATTCTCACCTTGAATAAAATAATTGAAGAGATGCGAATAATCTCTGCCAATCATAACATCACCTTCTAGAATGAATGAATTCCCTCAACTAGTTCCAGGTAGAGCAAGACCAACAAGCATAGCTTTCGGTGGGATTTTCAAAAATACTGTCTTTTAACAGCCCTAAACTCACATGGCTTACCTCTACCAGACATCATTGCCACAAACAGCCCCTTTCATAGTTGAAACACGTCATTCTGGACACAAAAATGCTGCGCCTTCCATACCCACAGCAGGATGCTGCTTGTGAGCACATGGCTATAAAAAAAACCAAAAAAAACTTTGCTCTCTCCTAGTTACACTAACAAAGGTATAGAGATAAAGCAGAATAAGACCCAAACACCGGTGAAATTGGAGTGTAACAGGTGTTCATGCATCACTACGATCACAGCTGTTCCCTGTTCTTATAAGACATAGCTGCTACCTCATTGTGACCTCTATGGCTACCCTCAATGCTGTACACAAGGTCAGGCAGTTCAACACTGGTGCAAAATAGTGGAGTCCACTTAAACTCAAATCTTTGAGACCACCAGATTTTTTTCGGTTTAGCAGAGTTTTCAGCTTAGGTAGGTTGCACAAATAGAAGATAAAAAAATTGGGGATATTATTTTTTTAAAGTTTACCGCTGTTTTAAGATTTATCGTGTTCGGAGTAAGCAGACCCCACTGTACTTTACCTGAGCAGCCAAACACAGAACATAGGTTAGAACATATATATAAAAAAATTTTCAATTTTCTCTTTGCTCTCTACAGTCACAGCAATAGTCAATTACATTTGGAAATGGAATTTAAACAAATTACAGGCCCCAACATGCGACGAAAAAGAGTATTTATTTCAGCGTCAATCAACATGCTTTCCCCCTCACCCTTACGCTTCATGCACAATGTTTTCTGACTGTTCCATGTCTTTGATTTACTCTCACAATTCAACAAGAAATATATTGTTCTGCTACACTACGAGGACATTGCAAACTTTTATTGGCAATCTGAAAGTCAGACAAAATCATTTTCAGTGCAAGGCCAATTCAGGCATCCATGACAGTATTGACATCGCCACTTGCAAATTACAATCCTACAATGATGCCAACCTGATCGGGAAGAAATACATCTTATACCAATTACATGAACCAATCTAACAGAAATATTTGTCTATGTGAAGATATTCTCAGGGATTTCACAACAAGCATACTGTTTACTGGGCCTTTAAAAGCAAGCAAAACTTCTCACAGCAAGAGTAATAGCCTACATGCAGAAACACCGGCAACATCACTTAGATTATTGTTTAGAAGACAGCTAAATGAACAGATTCGCCCAAATCAGATACATTACAGCATCAGCACAGATGTCTGATTAACAACTCTCTCTTGTCAGTTAGAAGGCTTACATCATATCACTCATCCGTGGCTTTCGCCTATTCAAATGTTATGTAGGTTGGTATTTTCATTTTGTATTTCCAGGATGTTAAAAGCCCACCGTTTCTTTGGAAGAAAAAAAAGAATGATAACATAATTCCTTCAACAACAATACAGTGATGCTAACACCAAACACATCGCTATTGCTCTTTCTTGATAAAATACTGCCAATAGCAATCAACAGTTACCACATTATGGGGTGTCCTCTTTTTCAAAAGCCCTTTCAAAAGATTAATAAACAACTTCTAATAAGAATTTTAATACACCATAGGATTACCCACTCCTTCATTTATAAGTATTTCAAAGCAAACTGGGCTTTCACGTCAACTGCATATTTCAAGCAATCCAATCCATACCGCTTGATAAAAAACACACAGCAAACCCTCTCTCAGAATTTAATAAGGGTTTTTCGAAAACCACAAGTCTCCTTTCTTTTCTGAAAGTAGAGAAGCAAATGAACAATGCCAATTTAAATCTTCTCATACACTATGTTTGACCATATCTGCGACAGTACTATTCTCTGAAACAGCTTAGTCATCTGAAACTTATAAACCGATTTTCCACAGCATCACTGACTTTCAAAATATAAAAAATATCATTTAAAAAAGTGAATGTGGTAGTTTAAAATACCTGTTACCAAAGAAGCAAAGAAAGGTGCAAACACGGCAGGAGTGAAACAAAACATTGAGTGAGAAAGCTGTTTTTCTCATATTATACATTCGCTATCCAAGCATACAAAGGTGAATCTGCTGGTAGTGCTTCTCATCCCCTGTCTTTTCACATTCACTGGACATGAGTGAAGGTTTCACTAGATAGAATGGCAGTTTACACCTGATATGGTAAAATGAAACTGGCAAAGAAAGAAACTGAAACCTCCACTGCTGAAAAATCATTCAAACATTTTGACAGTTGAGCACATTCCTCACTGGATTAATAGACACAATACACACCATTTGTCCATTACATAAGAGTGCATCCAATGTGCCTCACAACATTGACAAACAAAAGCAATAACTATTCATATGCAGCATGCAATTCATTTTTAAAATAACTTGAGTAGAACGGGATTCAATTTCAACTGACTTTTTAAAAAACATTTGTGCTCATGAGTAGGTAGAGAGAACACACTCTAAGGGCCAGCTGACCTTTCACAACAGTGTGCCCCTTCACCTGATTACTTAAAGAGCTACAATTTCAAATGAGCATTCAATTGTGTGGAGAACAATGCCAGTTTCACTAAATAATTAAAACCAGCCTGGCCTTAGAGCCACGGACTACACAGGCTTATACTTAAACTATGCGCCTTAATGCAAAGCAGAAACACCAACAAAGCCAATAAGTAAAAGTGCACCTGTAAACTAATGCCACGGACATGACGAATACCCTTCCTCCTGTCATCCTCATCACAAGAAAGTTCTGATAATGACCTACTCAAGAAGAGAAAAATCATTATTTTACTGGCTTCTCCTTTCTCAGGAACACAAGAACGCACACACCTCGCTCAAGTCAAAACACAAGCCAAGCCAGGGAATGATTGATGAACGATAACAAAGAAATAGGGAGTTCTGTGAAATCTTCACACTGAAAGTCAACAGAAGGATAAACTGAGAATTATTAGCATCATCTCTTCACTTTGTCAGTCTGCTCTCTGTTGCTGCTCATACTCACTCAAATCAGCGCCATACTTGTGTATCAACACAAAAGTAAACGTTTCTCTCTCCTGTCTCTGGTCAATCTCATGACTAAAGAAGGAATTTCCACCCCGCTTAAATTAATTGGGAAATGAAATAAATCTAGCTGCCAAAGACTGATCCCATTCAATCGGTGTGGGAGTCTACTTACAATCTACCAGTAAATGAGGGGGAACACATACTTTCCCATAGAACAAAAAAGGTCGAATAATAATAATAATAGTATTGTCCGATGTACTATCAGTTATCAACTGTAATTGACTCATAATACACTTCTTAGCTTTTAAGTATGAGAGTTGGCTGTGCTTTGGTCACAATTTAGCTGAAAATAAACGTGGCAACTTTTTTCCTTCTTTTTGACAGCTAAAAGCAGGACTACTGACAAACAAATACCTTGATAGAATGACTATCTATTAAAATTTTTCACTATACATATTTTTGCACCAACCACAGACATCAAAAGAGACATAGTACAACATTTCAGTTTAGTTTTGCGTACAAACAGCCTACAGGATCTAGGGGCTAGTTCTCTTGGGAAGAAGGCTTAAAGCCCTGTGAGGCTGAAAAGGAACAGAGAACAACAAAATGAAGAACCCCTTAGATAATTTAGAAGCACAGCACACCTCATTTCCCATACCACCATGAGTCAACAAAGTTGCTTAATAACCTGAGAACCGAACCTCTTAACCCTTTAAACTCCCTTCTAACCAAAAGTTAAGTCTTTCAGTGCCTAATATCTCCTACACTGACATACGGGTGCATCACAGACATAACAAAGTTAAAAAAAGGATGTATGTTCTCAGGAATGAAGAATTGACATATTGAAACAGATAAATGAGAAAAAAGTGGAGGAGGAATCACCCCGAACGTCAATAGACAAATACTGTCTGCCACCACGCCACGTCAACACAACTCACTCTTTTCCACACCGGCACACTTTGGTATATTTAAAGCACCTGTTCTTCTGTGGCCCTGTGGGTTGACGGGGGCTAGGGAAATGGTGTTGGAGTAAAGAAGAAGATGATGTAGGACTGGCCGATGTGACCCATATCACAACAGAAGGACAGGAAGGGAGAGTGGGCAGGGCAGGACACACACCCCCCCTCTGTCGCTGGGTGTAGGGGAGTCACAACTGCATCACGGGTACTTGAGCAACTGGCTGGAAGGGCTGCCGTAGGGGAGCTCGTCATACATAACTCGTCGACGGCTCAGGGTCCACAAAATACTTCCCTGGGAAAACAAATGACATCATCCAAAATGAGAAGCATAACATTTCAACAACATAAAAACAAAATTGATATTTAATGATAATCATTACACACAGATAATTCAAACAATGTGTTTGTGTGAACCAAGTTCTAATTGTTTTTAAAAAATAGTTTACCGGATTATTTAATAAAATGAAATGCGCCCCAAAACACAGTTAACCTGCTTTACACTATAATAGACTTTGAACAGACAAGTTAGCAAAATGGTAACAGAACCAAGATTTTAAAATATTTCACTTCACCTCTTACAAGAAAAAAAAAAAAGAAAGAAATTTGAGCATCTGGAGAACAAATCTGTCCGCCTCGGTCATAATCAATCGTAAAACGCAATGTGCTATTTGGCGCTACGAGGTTTGAAAGGCTAAAAAGTGACTTTCCATGAATTTTTTTTGTTTTGGATCTATTGAAAGTTTAATGTCTTCTGCTTCATTTAAGATCAAAATAAACACCTATAATTTTATTGACAATAAATATTTTATTTTGATTTATTTTGGAGGTGTGTGTGGTTTGTTGTGAGCTTGGGTGACAAGATAAAAGAATTTGGACCTCAAACCCTTTCGAATGTTTGACCTGCTGGTGTGTAGCTGTGAGATAATTTATAGAACCATTACCTCATGGCCACATTGCTTCAACGTCCTTAATTCGCCCCTATTTTTAGATTAAGACCCCTTTTCAAGCATGGACGGTCTGAAATATAAACATTTTAGCGTCCCTATGAACGGCTGAGGGCACTGATTGGTTAAACAAGGTAAGAACGGTAACTCCTAGTCCACTGCAAGCTTGTTTATGTAAACAGCTGACTGCGTAAGCATGCCCTGCTCGCTCAGTTAGGGGCTGTTGATCTTTCAGTTTTTCACTTCGATTGACTTCAAAAGTTCGTTTTTATTCTGTTGTAGTGAGAGTTTTTAAAAATTGATCTTCCTCTAGATCTCCAAAGGTGGACTCCTTGCCAAGAGGCCACAAGGCGGTCTATGTGCATGTGTGTGTGTGTGTGTGTGTATGTGTGAGTGTAAGTGTGTATTTGTGTGTGCATGTGTGTGCATGTGTGTGTGTGTGTGTGCTTGTGTGTTTATAGTGCTATAGCAAACATATAATTAGGAAGCATAAACAGGGCGCGTAAGCCGACTTGCGGACTTCCGAGGACATGGTTTCGGTTAAATCGAGGTAATTCAGATAGCTTTTTCTTTGCTCTTTCCCTATTACACACCAAATGATGTACACCTTGAAAAACTTGAGCTTTTCTTTTCGTTACTATACCGTAATTTGTTCTTCCGAGTATTTGGAGCCAGAGAATTGAGGTGGAAAGTGAAGCCCCTCGCGGTCGGAATGCGAGGTCTGCTGATTAAAAAATTGACGCCCATGCATTCGAACGCTTTGAAGAAAGAGTGATGATTAAATACTGTTTTTTCATTGGAAAACAGCTTCTTTAGAGTTTTGAACGGGGCTTCCTATGGTATATTTTTGGCCTTTGGCAATTAAAAGTTTTCAAAGATCATTTTTAACACGAATTATGTAAAATACAGACTAAAAAAAGGTACCAATAGAAAGAACAGTTCACTTTCTATTAGAATAAAGTCATCGGCTTGGAATTATTTTTGCATCAATCCTTCCGCAAAACTCCGGGGAGCACTCGATACACTAGTTAGAGCCGGTTCGCTTTCTGCGGGGACCGATGCGGCGCCGGCCATGACAGCGCTCGGTGGGTTTTTAAAAAAATCAAAATAATAACAGATCATTGAGTTTGAGGAAATAAAATATTGATTTGTAATGATCTGAGTCTTGAAAACACGTTAGGCTCCATTTCTATGCTTTAGTGATTGCACTCTGTTAATGTGGAGGTGTTTGGTGCACTTGGTACTCTTTTATTATCTGCCAAACACCGGGTTGCAGCAAGTTAGCGATTAGCAATATTCGATCATATATTAAATTAAAACAGCTGCCATTTTATTAACTCTTAAAACCCCATCGGACACTAGGAGCGTCCGGCTGTAATAACCCTGTTCCCCATCCGACGCTGGGAGCGTCCGATACTAGTGACAACTGTTGCTTTTTATTTAGTGCTAGTTTTTTTCTTGTTTTTCGGAACTATTCCTGATCCAAGTTGTTTAGTAATGTCTAAGCCTTTGTTTTCGCCATTCACAAGTTGCAGGCAAGCTTTTGGGGTTATGATGAATTACAGTGCACCAGGTTTAGGAGACTGTAAAAAAAACCTCAGTGAAACGGTGGAAAAAAACTCAGGGTTTAAAGAGTTAAACATTGACTCAGAAGTGAAAGTATGGTACCAAAATTCACAGGAGACACAGGCTTTTCATATATGGAACAGATAAATGCGACATACAGCTACTTTGAAAATTTTGTTTCAGGTACCTAGTAGGGCCTACAATGCTAACCCATTGTCGCATTTGACGTGAAGACCATTCTCGCTAAAATTTTGTTTTGTCCATAATCTTTTTTGCTGTGAATGAATATAGTTTTCTACTTCTACGCGTTACCTTGAAGTGGCATAGCCAAAATGACCGCCAAATTTCAAATCTCCATCTCATTTCTAAGACCCCTGTTGCTATGGATACATGTTGCTCAACTTCGGAGCCGTTTTCTCCTTTTCGTGTCTCCGCACCTTGAATACTTAAAAGTTCCATATTTTCGTCAAATATTGTCTTATTTATTTACTTCATTTTTTTTTTTTCCAAAATTGTAGTGAAAAGGTGATAGCCTTCATATGACTGATTTTGACCGGGAGGGTCACAAATATGATTTGAAACTGAATCATTACATAACAGTTCATGTTGACACAGCAGGAGATACGGGGAAAAAAAATACAAGCTGAACAAGGAAAACGGGCATAATTCAAATTCAAAAGCGAAGAGTCATCATACCAGTTGCAAAACGTTTCTTCATGAGTGAGATCCTGTACCCCGGACCCACTAACTCAAAGTCGGCCCCCGACAGAACAGCGCCTTCTGCCGCAAACTGCAAGGCCGTTGTGACCGGCTTTGATGGGCCGTTGCTCAGCTCAAACTTAGCTCTGATGCATCCCTGGGATTCCTGCTCACTGACGTCTGAGATATCATTCAACTTCCACGTCACTCGGTTCAGATTGGCATCCCTGGGGATAATAAGTTGCAAAATGCTCAGGGTAATGACGCGTCAACTTTAATCTTGGTTGACAATTGAATTATTAGCTATGAACTGCCCTTAAAGCCACAGATTTATACTGTATTGCTAAAGCGCTATCAAGAAACATCACTCACTCAGTCCAAACAGAGTTAAATACATCAGATTGAGTAAAAGGTTGTTCCCGCATCCGATCCGAACATTGGGTATTGCCTTGTTAGTGAGACAACTTCCTGGGCCTTTGGAATATTGTGATAGGGTGGCTAGTTCTTTTTCATGTCGCCTTTACTTCCCCAACTCGGAAGTCGGGGGGAAAAATCTGTGTCCGAACCGAGGCTCGAACCCGGAAATCCTGCTTCAGAGACAAGCACACAGATTGAGTAGTGAAAGAAAAAAAGACACCAAGAAATCAGCAAAGGAGTGATGAAAATGTCGACATTCCGTCTCTAAGGGGATTAACGTAAAATACCCAGAACATCCCAAAACCTTATGCAAAACAATAGCCACCTGTGATGACACTCAATAAAAAAAAAATACCCCTCTCTAACAACATATCTCAATCACACATCAATGTAGCAGTTCTCTCATCATCTAAATAAACCAACTCTAACCTACCACTGGCCATTTGGCAGACTCTGCATTTTTGTCACACCCCCATCTACAGGAACAGCTACGTTGACATTTTTCAAAGTCACTGGAGCAGACATTGCTGATGGGTTGTATCTGTAGTCCAACCTGAAGTCTGTGGCGTTGTCTTCACACTTCCAGTACACCACTAAAGGCAACGGGGTGCTCTCCACTCCAGGCTGAGACTTCACCTGATTCAAGAAAAAAGAAATTAATCCATGCTCAGTAAGTGTTGGCGCCTCTTCAGACTTGAATTCTAAGATTTACAATTTTCCATCCCCAAAACCGAAAATATATGCTTCACTTTTCATTCCATCAGCAAAATGAGTCATCATTTAGTTTCATTTTAGTAAGAGTTTGACAGCACTTGCAACACAAATAGGTCACGCTAGTGCTCAAAACCATATATTTTCTTATGCAATGCGAATAAGCAAACAAACATTATGAGAAAATATCAGTGTGGCTATATACAGTGAATTATCAACAAGAAACAATGAATCGCAGCTATTGCACTAGTAATTATACAAGTCATGTAAGTGGAAAAATACATTATTACAACACACCCAACATAAAAAGACGCTTCTGCTGAATACATATCTTTTTATAAACAAGTAATAAAATATCATCCTCTAATAATGTTAGCAGAACATCCTTACCTGATACTTGAGGATGTCAATGTTGAAGTATGATGCTGCTTTATTTTGGTCACCCTGCTGCTTCAGATGATCAACTAAGTTTGACATATTGAACTCGTAGGTATGGACATCTGAGGTACTTTGTGCTTCATTCCTGAAAGAATCAATGGATCATTGTAGTCTCAACTCTTTATTACATAAATTTGTTTAAACAACAACAAAAAACCCTTAAAAAAAGCATACTGGTACTAATACTATAACAGTTTCATAGTGCAGGGGAAAAAACAGATACACAGAAAAAAACTACAGAGAGAAAGACAAGTAGCAGGAAGTATCAGTTGTACCCTCAAATCACTTGCACTCTTAATAACAAAAACACATATGTGAGGCATCGCTGTGAAATCAGGCGCTCATGAAAATAGTGAAATTGAAAAAATCTCCATTTTTCTACCCGTCTATCAATTTTTATCGAATTTTTCATTTTTGGCTCAGCACCAAGGAGATTAAAAGTAATGGAGGATGCTCTGTGGGCGGCACCGCACGCCTGATAGGAGCCCTCTCTCGCGGCGGAACTGTGGTCTACCTGCGCTGCGCGAATCCCCGACTCATGCACTGAAATCTAGATAAGAAAGAAGGTTTTATTCCGAGGTCCTTGAGATTAGGCAAGTCAATTAGTAAAAATGCCTTGCATATGTGTTGTATTTAAGTGTAAGAACCGATACGATGCTGCAGTGGACCGAAGTTTTCACAGTTAAGTTGTTTTCCTTTTAAAAAATTTGAATGAAAGTGTTTTTATGCCCCCAGCAACACAATTTAGATCATTAACATTCATAAGAGGATGGCTCCGGCGCTACCTGCCAAGGCCAACCCAGGCTGAAAGGGATACAACACCCCAGCAGAAAGACCGAGATACTCAATTTTTTAAAAGTATTCTTATTCTTATACATATATATATAATTATTAAGTGTGTGTATGTATATACATATTATACATTTATATTGCTTTCTATTGTGTGTGCAAATTAGATGCTACTGTTGTCTAAATGTAGATATGTGGAGGCTCCATTAGAATATGAAATCAATACTCAACAACAATAATGATGAATATTTTCTATGTTAAAGAAACACCAAACCATATCAGACGAGGGGAGAGAGTTGGGTGGGGTGGATAAGAGTTTAAGTCTTGTTAGATAGAACTATACTCGGTTTAATTCTACTGTTGTAGTCTTCACCTAAGATCCCACAATCAATAATTCCGGTTCACTTAAGATTCTGCTGTTAAAAAATAAACCAAACAAAGCAACATCAAATTTTATTACACAAGAGTCATCACTGAGATAAATTATCTCCCCCCCTGAGTGTAATAAGGGACTAAAAACGCTGCTCTCCATATCATACTTTACTGAACAAAAAAAAAAGAAAACCTTCAAAGGTCATCCATGCTCATGCATGCGATCACACCTCCAAAGGTGCTGTTATCTCTTTTTTTTAAATATTTGAAATCATTGTGCGCTCTACTTTGTGAAAACCAGGAAACAAAATTATTGTAACCAATAATATTATTATTTATAGACCAAGACATACTGTTAGCAATCAGATAAAGCTGGCATCGACCCTCTGTTGTGTTCGCTATTCCTTATACGGGGTGCCCACTACGGACGGGATCGGCCGATCGAGGGCGATCGCCCGACTCGATCGCCTGAAACTGAAAACAAACACGTTTGTTTTTGAAGCGATCGAGTCGGGCGATCGGGCTGATCGGCCGATCCCATCCGTAGTGGGCACCCCGTATTACACATAAAGTTAGTTATGGCACACACCTAGAATCATGCAATCATAATATCTTAAATTTAGTTTTAAAGTATATTTTTATCCATTTCTAATAATTAAATATTTTGGCATCTTGAAAGATTATCTTTATAATTTGGTATGTTTGATAATTTTATGTTACTTGGACAAGTTTTCTTCTATTTTACACATCTTTCTGAATTTTAAACTAGATTATAACATAAAATTCTTAAAGAATTGAATAGTCCGTATCACACACAGAATCTTTTTTTTTCTCCCTGTCATTATCCGTCAGCTGATCACAATCTCTCTCTCTCTCTTCTGTCTGTCTGTCTGTCTGTCTCTCTCTCACTCTCTCTTTTTCTCTCTCTCTCTCTTTCTCTCTCTCTCTCTTTTTCTCTCTCTCACTCTCTCTTTCTCTCTCTCTCTCTCTCTCTCTCTTTTTCTCTCTCTCACTCTCTCTTTCTCTCTCTCTCTCTCTTTTATTTAATTTTTCCCATTCTCCTTCGTCCCTTCCCAAGGCCCGCCCCTCCTCTTTCATCCCTGCTCCATCCCCTCTTCCTTGCGTGCATTCCCCCACCCCGCCCACCCCCACAACGTGGCCCAGCCCGATAAGATTCTACAAAAAGAACCGCCACAGTTCGAGATTTAGCCCACACTCGGCGGCCATATTTGACCCCCACCGCGGCGTACTGCTCGTGGCGCCGCGAAGAGAGAGAGGAGGCTCCATTAGTTCTAAACTCCTTGCTCAGCACCTTTTAGATCCATTTAAGTACACATTTGTGAGGCATCGTGGTGAAATCAGGCGCTCGTCAAAATAAGGAAATCAAAGAAATACGCATTTTTCCTCCAGTTTGGCAATATTTATTGAAATTTTGTTTTTAGGCTCAACACCTTTTATGTCCATATAAAAACACAGTTCCATTTAATGGAAAAACGTCAATTAATGGCAAAGCATAGGTAAATTTTCCTTTTCCAAGGACTCTCAAGCTATAGAAGTTACCAAACTTTGGCGGCCATTTTCTCTCTCATTTTACCTCTAAAACCATGCTACCCCACCTTTTTAAATCGCAAATATTTCGACCTCTTTTGAAGATAGATGGATGTTCTTTTCACAGAAAGCAAGGCAAACAAATAAGCTTTCAGATACCAATAACTCCACACGCCCAGAAATTGAAGAGCGCCTGATTCCACCACATCATGACACATTTATGTGTGAATTTTACTGAAAAACGTTGATTAAAGGCATGTAAATTTCCAATTTCCAAAGGCTCTCAAACTATGGAAGTCACCAAATTTTGGCGGCCATTTTCTCGCTAATTTCACCCTTCAAACGAGGCAAACCCCATCTCCTTCAATCGTAATCTCGACTTCTTTTAAGATAGATTGATATTTTTTCATCGAAAGCAAAGCAAACGAACAGGCTGTAGGATGATACCAATAATTCTGTATGCCCAAAAATTGACGAGCACTCGATTCCATACATTGTGACACATATAACTGTCAAACAATGACAAACATACAAAGAAATGAGGTAAATACATGCCATTTGTTCTATGACATCCAGGTGGAATGATCAAAACTAATTTCAACACTCAAACAATGAAAGATTTTAGAATAAATTTCTCAGAGCCACTGCTCCCTACATATAAAAGAACAACAGACATGAATCATACCCATGTCAACGACTGATGACCAGTTGCAGCCTATGACCACTTATTAGTACATGCAGTGTCTTAACACTCTCTCTATTATATACAAGAATAATGTTAGATTAACCCTCTGCGTGCGCATCACGACTCATTCCTCCCTTCCGCGCCTAACGTGATCCAACATGAGAGTAGAAACTATACCGCTGACATGATAATAGCCATTTCTTAAACTGCTAGTGACTACAGTCCACCAGTGCAACGTTTATTAGTGCTGCTGGCCGCGCAGTTTGCAGTCGGGGAACGGTTTAGAGTTTTTTATTGGCAATTTTCTGGGATATTGTTTATAGTTTTCAAAATGTCGGATTTGTCAGCTGATTTAGACACAGATTTACCCAACATTTTTCTGGAATCGGACCACAGTGATAAAGTTAGAAGGATTAGGTCCTCAAATAAAAGATTTCGATGGGGATATCGTGTCGTAGATCTAGATCTAGATCTAGCGAGGTTAAGCCCAGAAGGCGACGTCGATATTCATGCAGATCTCCAAGCATGCTGGACTAAAAATGATGAGGATTTTGATACCAACAACAACAACATTAAAAAACACATCTGACCAGACATAATGGTAGTTCATTATTTAAGACACATTTTTCCTTCTTACTGTAATTAGAAATTAAGATAAATAAGAAAGATATGAGCTTTTTTTATAGCCATGTTGAAAATTAGCATTTTTCTAAACATACTTGGAAAGTATGGTGGAGTTGGCGATGATCTCCTCCATTTTGTTGCTGTTCTTGATACGGAAAGACAATAGAGCAGGAGATGGATTTTCTGTGAACACTCTGACAACACCAGCAGGAAAGGACATCATCAAGTTTCCCACTGTGCGTACAACACATCTGAAAGAAAGGACGAAAGAAAGAAAAAAATGACTTCTTGTTATTCATCAAAAGGGGAAACAATTTTAATTTTTGTCAAGCAAGGACGCCGTCGTGAACATTCCAACTGATCGTTTAGTTGTTCACTTGTCATGTATGTGGGACTTAACAACTAATATTTTCACTGAAGAGCGTTGTAGAACCCAAAATATAAAATAAAAATGTCTGCTAAAAGTAGAATTGTGGCTGTAATTATTTCAAAAGATGATGACCCTATACAGTTAGAGACTACTCTGAACCTAAAGAATTTGAGTCACAAGAGAAAACAGTTATAGTCTAGCATGCACAGAGCGAACAAATTTTCAAGTCCCAAGTTTTTCCGTAACCATGTATACTCTTTGTATTTAAAATCCATACACTGCAAAATTCGTACATAACAAAAAGATTTTCACATCCTGCAGGTTACACTATGTGCATTCTAGACTGTATTCTTATTGTTCATTCATATTTTGTATTTCCGGGGATGGACTTTTATCTGAAACCTTACTGCACTGGATGGTATCACTGTTGACTAAAGGTTTATAGTAATGATATACTCATAGTATCAGTACTTTAGCTGACCTGAATGGAGAAAACATTAATATGCATAAACTTACTTGGTGGCATCATGACCTTTGAAGTAGGCGTTGACTGTCTCTGTGAAAGCGATGGCGAGCGGAACGGTGTCTGACATGCCGATGGTCAGTGGACTAGGACCCCGTGAGGAACCCACAGGCATGGAGGTTGTGGTGAAGGTCATGCTGCCATTGCTGTCCGAGCGACTCATGGGGACCGGCCCGTTCACTTTCGGCTGTACAGGGAGAAATTATATATTTGTCAGCATCAACATCTGTGTTTACACATGACATGAAAAGGAACCCTTTGGTTTTAGTTTAGTTTTAGTAAGAGTTTTACACTGCTTGCAACATAATAAGGTCATATAAGTGTTGGAGATTAGAGGTGTTACAAGAGAGTAACAAACACAAAAAAGGAAGAGGATAGAAAAGGACGACAGATGTTTGATATGCAAGAAGGAGCACACCAAACCAGAGCACCCGCCAACCACCCACAGAAACACTTTGCCATAACAACAAGGATAGGCAAGAAACATTCATTGAGATGTACTTTACACGTGCAAAGACCAAATTCGCTTGAGAAAAGGGCCATAACTTTACTTTAGTTTTAGTAAGAGTTCTACGGCACTTGGAACCCAATAAGGTCACATAAATGCCAAAGATTAAAGGGGTTACAAGAGAGTAACAAACTTTAAAAAAGATGGAGGAGAGATAAAGACGACTCATAATTGATAGGAAAGAGGGAGCAAAATGCACCAAAGCACCTGCCAGCCACCCATAGTCATAACTATTTTGCAGAAAAAAAACTTATATTAAGTCAAAGAGTATCACCAGACCCAACAATGAGGCCACAAACATCACAAATTTAGGGATTGATTACCTTGAAAACTATTGGTAACATCATCACTAATCTTCAACATACCTTCTTTAATTAGATAAGCCATTACCTAATCATGTCAAGATAATGGCTCGTGTTTGCCAGCTGATAACGTTAAAACTTAAAAACAGACAACAGCTACATTCTATGACTTTCGTCAACAAATTTTCATTCAAAATAGTGACTTCGTTGAGCATGAAAGTATACAATGTTTTTCGTTTCGCTGCATTGTACAACAGACATCATTACTAGAAGATTTTTACAATCTTCATAGCTGCTAATACATTATCAAAGCTACAAGAGGCCCAAAAACTTGAAGAAATCGCAACATAAAAATTCCAGAAAAGCCTCAATGTTATATTACATCGAGGTTTTTCTACACTTTTAACTGCTGCTGCTAGGATGAAAGCAAACCCGTTGTGGCAAAAACTAAATTCAGGGTCCCAACCAAATCCTGGAAAATTTTTTCAGACCCCCAATTTTTTTTCAAGACCCCAATTCGAGGGAAAAATCAGGCCACTGCGCATCAAGAATGATCCCCAAAAACCCCATCTATCAATGATAAAAAGTCAAAATGTCTATAAATGAATGCAAATGTATATTTTGTAGTATAGTCTTCAAACAATAGATGACTATAATACTGAGTGACTGCCAACCCAGCTTCTCAATTTTCCAAGGGAGGGGATTCATCCATTTTCCAGGAACACGTTACATAACAATGAAAGCGTGTGCTTCATTTATATCTAATATAATACATGTATATGTTTGTGAATATACACACACACACATGTAGGGACATTATATCCAGTCAACAACATGTCAGTGTGGCACTGGGATCTTGAGAGACTTTGGTATTTCAGTCTGTTCTTACTTATTTATATTTGAACAGAAAGCTAAAATATAGATATAAATTACAATCACCCCATCCAATGAAACGCGAACACTTTAGTTCAATATCAAGGCATGACGGATCCCGATTCCACACAAGGCCTGCACCAAAGTGCGCTTTGCAGAGAGCTCTAAAGTAGTTATCAAAATGCTAAAAATTTGCTTCCAAGTTCAGTTTTTGCCCTCTAGCGTTGCCTTCAGCCCCCCCCCCCCCCCCTACCCTCTTCCACGAGTGTATCTTATAAAGGAGTCCTATACTTCACAGTGCTCAGACCGCCGGTACTCACAGGTTCATTGACCGGTCACCAGGATGAACCTGTCAAGACGCTTGTATAAGTTCTTCTTTTTTTTTCCCCCAAGCGACAGCAGAGGGCAATTTTTAATATTGATTTATTTTCAAGGCGACACAGCGTTCATAATGCACAACCTGCATGTTACAAATGTCACGTTATCTATCAGACTATTACCGGAAAATTCCTGGGCAGTAACGAAAGCGAAAATAGATCTTGATTCTTCCCGATCGAGCCTCGGTGTCACACATACACTTCCGCCACAGCGGTTCAATTACGTTTCCTCTTCAGGATTCATCAACCATACTGTCTAGATAGCTACACATTACACAGACCCTATCCTTTCCCGACTTACCGACCCATCTCAAAATTCCCGACTTTTTCCTGACCTCCCGACCCATCTAAAAATTCCCAACTTTTTCCCGATTTTCCGACCTGGTGGGGACCCTGTAAATTAGGGAAAAAAAAGGTGTAACATTGAAGTAACTCGTACCTGTGGGGGAATGATGCCTCTATTCCTAGATGGTGGTCTAGCCACAGGGGGAGGGAGACCTGCAGACGGGGAGGTGATCTGTGCTGAGGCGGGAGGGGTGCCGTTGCTTTGATTCATCAGATCCACCAAATCTGCCAGGAAGGAAGAATAACATAAAAACAGATTGGGAAAGAAATTCCTTCAATATCACACCCGTTGTTTTCATTGATCCTAAGTATTTGAAGTCTGGTACATTTTCCAGCTCTATTCCTAACCTTAAATGGGCATAGTTCTGTCAATTATTTACACATTTTAAATGCACAGAAATAAAATTGTTTTCATAAAACCTTTTCATTTTAAGATGCTTTTTAAAAAATGAATATCTGCCTGATTTATGTGACAAATCATCTCAGACATAGGCTAAAGAGGCCTAGAATAGACCAAAGACCACAACATCCATCGTAAAAATTAGGCAGTGTCAAGTAAAAGGATTACTTTTGCACAGTAAAGAAAATAACCAGACTAATTCTATTGCAATAACAACATAATATCAGGAAAAAGAAAAGAAGAAGAAAAGGCCAAGACTCTTGACATGAAAAAGCCTTAATTTTAGCACAATAATAACAACAACAAAACGCAGAAAAAGAAAAGAAAGAAAGGAAGAAAAACACTAAGATTGCGGACACCAAAAGAAAACTGCAACCCCCCCTAACCCCTTTGACCAACTCACTGGAGGACGGTGTGGTGGCTGCGCTGCTGGTATTACTGGCCCAGTTCAATTCCATCTGCGGCGAGAGGGGGGAGGGCAGAGACACCTGGTAGTTGGCACCGGTGGGAGTAGACGCTGCAGACGCCGAGCCAAACAGGTCCAGGTTGAGCAGGTCTTGACTAGGTTTGCTGGGGACAAGTTTTGGAGATGTTTTTAAAAACTTTTTCAGAAGAAAAGCACATCAACAAAATAACGAATATTTAACAAGTTTTTAAAGAGTAAAATGAAGAGTAAAAATTAAGACCCCCCCCCCACACCATGCTTTCGCATATCACAATAATCACAGCCCACTGTTTTCTCTGCCTGTAGGTCATTGCTATTAACTCAACTGTGATCACCATGATGAGCACGACACAATTTTTAACTCACTTCAGACGGTTCCCGCAACAGTTGCGTGACCCCTACCCCGACGGTTGCCCCAGGCCCTTCGCGATCAGTTTTGGACTTTTTTTCCGCAATACAAATCACGCATGTGTCGAGTATTCATCTCGTTTGGCCTGTCTTGAGCCACTTAGACTTAGTTTTGTATCTCTGGGGCCGACAGTTTTTGAGTTATCGAGACCCAAATAAAAGGGGCTCGAGAGGCGGAAAAACGAAACAAAGCACGTGGAAAGTACGCAGAGCAGCATGAGGCAGTGTTGTCGTGAAAATGGAAGAAAGAAATATTTTCTGCATGTTTGATGATGGTTTTGGTTCGGAAACTGATCTAGAAGGTTATGATACTCATAGTGATAGGGATCCAGAATACATTCCAGAAAAACGCAGGAAGAAGAATAGTAGAGGGAGTAGTGGTAGATCAAAGATAGTACATAACAAGATGGGCCACTCAGCCAAAAAAGTGTCCGCAGGAAGTATGCTCTTTGCTTCAGATGGCGCTGCAGTCTGTTTTGAAGCTCTCTTTCGTTTTTCCAGAAGAAGAATAGGAATAGCACCTCCTTGCGTGCGCAGATCGACTGCTGTTCATCAGCAGTTCGGGTTCGTTCAGTGCGGAGTTTTAGGTTATTTATACTTTAATGACCTCTCGCCTTTCATTCTAAAGTCAAATTAAACGAAGAAAACAATCACCCTTTCCTCCGGAAGAGGTTTTTTGTCAGCATAACCATTTAAAAAAAGCGTTCTTCCGAAATTCATTCAAAAACTTGCTAGTTTCACTTTGATTATAACTCTGTTCGCAAAAGGTGCGCTTTTGTGAAGAGGGCGCCACCGAATTTTGAGGACACTTTTTTAATTGGCTCAAAGAGAGAAGTGACCCCTCTTGTTATGTAGACTCATTGTGGTAGATCTACATTTCGATCAAGAACTGACGACAATAATAGAGATGGAGAGATCGATCAACATGGGCCCAGTAGCAGTGGCCTAGCCCCATCCAGTGGTCGGGGTTCCAGATCCAGTACTAGTACTAAAAGCACAACATCGAGATCTAGTGATGAAGTGATCCACACGGTGGGGAATGACATTGACTCAAGTGATTCAGATACGGAATGTGATGCTGCTGAAAGTGTCAATTTCGACTTGGATGTTCAGCCTCAGCATGGTAATAATATTGACAGGTCTGACGGGTCTAATGATTTGACTGGTTTTCCCCCAATTACCCCCATTTACTGGAACAAGTGGCATAAGTGATCAGATTGACAGGGAAAATTACAGTGCCTAGTCATGTTACAAGTTGTGAATTGATGACTACATCGTCAAACTAATAAAAAAAGAGACGAATCATTGTGCTAACTACCTCTCAAGACCTGAGCCCTACAGCAGACAGCAAAATGTAAAGGAATGGAAAACTGTCACCCTTCATGAGACAAAAGGATTCTCGCTTATCCTCATGCATAAGGGCACTGTAAAAAAAACAAAAAAACCCTTCTATGTACGATTAATGAAGTATGCAGGAATTCGTTTCATCGGATTTCGCTTGTACTATTCTGCCTTGCGACTGTTTCCGAGTGATAATGACAATGCTGCACTTCAGTGACAATACAGCTTATATTCTTCCTGATCAGCCAAACAATGATCCTCTTTACAAGATAAGGAAGGTGTATGAGCACCTTCAAACATGATTTGAGGAGGTGTATACTCCAGAGCAAGATGTTTCACTGGACGAGGCAATGCGCCCGTGGCATGGGAAACTCCGTTTCAAGGTTTACCTCAAGGACAAGCCCAAGCCATGGGGCATAAAATGCTACGAAGTATGGGAGGCAAGTTCCTCCTGTGTGCACCGCTTTGAGATTTATGCTGCACACCCACGATACAGTAATAAGCCGACTGACGTGGTGATGCACATCATGGAGCCACTGCTGAAGACGGGGTATCTTTTGTATACCGACAATTACTATTTATGTCCAGAGTTGTTTGACAAACGAATTGAGAAAGGAACAATGTGCACTGGCACAGTGCCTGCAAACAGGCGAGGAACGCCGTAACCTGTAGAACTTAGGACACGGGTGCAAGGAGACATCGTTTTCAAACGAAGGGGCTCTCTCGTTGCCTTGAAATGGAAGGACAAGCCAGAGGTCCATATACTCACTTCAGCTGTTGACCCAAGAGAAACTACCATAGTCACAACAAGAAATATCACAAATAAACAGAAACCAAATTTGTGTGGTTCAGTATTTAAAGAATATGAGTGGAGTAGTTAAAAATGATCAGCTACTTTCCTACCTGCCTCTAGCTCGCCGAACGTCAAAGTGGACAAAGAAACTTTTCACACATGTTTACACTCTCCATCATCCAAGCATCCATTATATACAAAAAATTGGAAAAGCCTCTAAACAAAAGACAACTGTCCCTGCCTAAATTCATCAAGCTCTTGGGTGAACAGCTGAGTGAGGAGTACGTCAGTCAACGTCCAGCTCATCATCCCCCATCAAAGACGGCCAACAAACCTACGCTGGTTCGTCTCGACATCGCCAAGACGTTCCACCACCTTGAACCTCTTCCCATCACCCAAACCAGTTCGGAGCCCAAGAGAGAGTGTAAGAGGTGCAGGGATGCTCTCTCAGAGACATCGAGCAAAAAGAAAAGAGCCAATGAGACATATCACTGGTGTGCCGTGTGCAAGACCCCCTCTCTGCATTCACCTGCGCTTTGTAAGGTACTACATGCAGCTGAATTACTGCCAAACTGACGAGTAACTCTAGACATCAGAAAAATGTAAGTGCTGAATATTATTATTTGCATTGTGCCTTTACTTACTCAAGCAAACTGAGAAAAACTTACTATTTTTATGTTTGTTCACATGTTTATTGGGACCATCATTGCATTTTGGGGGGGGGGGGGAATTTCAAATGACTGGGAAAATCATGAAAAAAAACTAATAAATACAAAGATATTCAAGTTATGTTTTTTTTGCATTTTGTTTCGTGCATGTTAAACAAATGCGCCTTCAAATTTAGTTAAGATCCAGTCATTAGTGAAGTCAGTGAGATATTTTTTTAATGCACCGAAAACGCTAGTGCAAACGGCTTGTTGGGTCAAAACGGGTCCAGTCTGAAGTGAGTTCATGTGCTAAATTTCTCCACTGTAAAAGAAAATACAACAACCTTGGCAAAGGACAAAAAAACTAAAGGCTGCTGAACTTACTCTAATGTATCAGACTCTGACTGTGACCGCTTCATCTTTTTGTCCACGGGGGTTTGACTTCGCTTCCTCTGAGGCACAGAAAACAGAAAGTATTAACACTTACAGTACCAAAGGCTCATATAGTGAAAAACCTTCAAGTATCGCACCAGTTTAGAATGCTGAAGCCGCCGTATAATTTTGTTTTAATCTAAAAAAACCTTGGCAGCCCAAGGAACACGCTTTAGAAATTTTTAGAGGTTCATCAACCATTCACCTTTCATAAAGAGTGACTTCCACTGGTATTTACTTCAGTTCTGTAACTGTTAACAGACATGGATTAGAAAATACGGAAAACCAATTCTGACATCATTGATTCGGGATGTACTTCAATTGATACAAAGTTAACAGGATAAATAGAATCAAAAACCAGTATTATTCATCACTTACAGTCTTAATGAATTCAGCAAATGAAGGAGGTAGTAGGGGAAATTCACAAATATTACATCACTGGCTCACTCTTTTTAGCCTTGAAATCCATGTCAATTTTACAAACAAGAAGAAAAAAATGCTAATTTCTCATTAAACATTTATCATAAATAGTGCACAATAATCCCATTTACTTTTATATTATCTAAACATAAATCAGTGAATGCAACCAATAATTTACTTACAACAAACAGCTTGAGGCAATCCTAAACTTTAATCCATTTCATCTACCTCAAGAGTTGTTTAGTTTTAGTTTTAGTAAGTTTTACGGCACTTGCAACACAATAAGGTCATAGAAGTGCCGGAGAATAGATTATGTGTTACAAGAGAGTAACAACAAACACACAAAAAAAGGATGAGAGATAAGGACGACAGATGTTAGATAGGAAAGAAGGAGCAAACCACACCAGAGCACCCACCAACCACCCACCTCAAGAGTTGTTCCCCATATATTTCAAAAGCATTTAAAACATTCATGAATTGGGCAATAATGGTTTGACAATCTTCTCAAAACTATCAGCCAGAAATCACTCACGGTTGGGGACAATCGTAACCCTTCTACAGAGGCTCTGATATCCTCTATGGTGCCTGCAGGGGCTGCTGTGGTTGGGCTGAGTGGACGAATCTCAACTTTGATTTTCCTCCGACCCTCATCCTCTGAAGACAGAAATTGGTAAACAGTCAAGTGTGTGGATCAGAATCTCTTCAGGCTTTCTCAAGCTTTTAGTTACTTCAAAAAACAGAAACACATTTTTTTAAAAACAGCCCCCATGTACACATGAACAAGTAGAGATAAAAATATAACTACCCAAAACTCACCATTGTCTATTAGTTGCATACTGACTCCAAGTCTAAAAAAAGAGACACTTGTTAATGAGACAAATGCACACCAACAGGCAGCAGAAGAGAACTGGAAACAGCAGTTTTAAAAAAGGAGAAGTCATTCGTCAAACATTTTCCCTTCTCTTCTGTTCAGCTGAACAACAATTTTCTGGGGGGTGGGGGGGTAATTTTGCAGCACATTAAATAAAATGGTGTCACTGTTATGATATATTTTATTAAAAATATCAACCATGCACAATTATACCCCCATATGCCCTATATTTCCCCCCCATCTTCCCCACCCCTTCATAATACAGGACTGCACAACTCATGCGGACCTTTAAAGGCAAAATATCTGACTTTGAAACACTACACACATCAACAATGTAAGCACCAACTAGCAAGCAAAGATTGAGAATATTTGACTCAAGAGGTACATTACCTCATTTAAAAAATATTTTTTTCCCCCTCATCAACCAGGTAAACACAAATTAACTATCCAGGCGAAGGTCTGAGGAAATTAAAGGCACTGCCCTTGCACACTCACCAGAGTCAGAGTCACTGTCACTGGAGTACCAGCTATTTTTATCACCGTTATCTGGCTCCGTTCAGGAAATTTACATAAAAAGCGACAGATCTTGCTAATATCTCATGCCAAAAATATGAAATACAAACTCAGATATTTTCTTGTTACCTTAAACAAGACGCCAAGCCCATGTCAAGACCCAGTCATCTTAGGGTGGTATATTTATATATCAGAAAAACCGAATGCAGAGTAGTGGGCCTGCTATTAAAAGTACAACCAAAACTTAATGCATTATGATTTTATCATTATTACTGAAGACTTCCAATATAAAAGCATGTTTCCAAGTACAGTAGTCTCCGCCTAAGATCCCGGTGCACGGGAGCAAGGAAATGCGGGATCTTAGGTAAACCGGGATCTTAACCGACAAACCCAGGGAAGAATCTATTGTGACCCATGTTAAGGCTCACAATCAGTAAAATGTTCTCCCTCCACTCTACAATGAACTGACGTGCCCGCTTGGTGGGTTTATTGGCATATGGCGAGCAAAGAGTGGTTAACGTTGATGACCTATCACGGTGCATTGTGGGATGAGGCGTGCCATTTTAACTTATTATCCTATCATGAGTCTCAAGATCTACGCTTATCCAGTTGCCCCTCCCCTTTACCTGTCCAAAATTTATAGCTTTCCATCTCTGACCAAGTCCCCCCCCCCCCCCCACAAAACCGCCTTTGTCGTTACACACCATTACATTGTGAACACACCAATTAAAATTCAGTCCGTCTCGCAAATTGGGGAGTAGAGACAACTGCTGCAATGGTCAAGGAAGAGTTCACGGTTCGATGTGATCCCGCCTGGAGCGAACGTGTAGGCCCTACCCACCCAGCGAGTGATGCAAGTTTAGGGGGAGAGCTCAGGTGTGAGTGCGATGTTCGGGGAAAACAAACACGTCGGTCAGTTCACACCCCGGTGTGATCCTGTGGGGGGCAAACATTGTATCGCTTCATTGAGTTTTACAACTTGTATGTGATCACATTCACGAGAGTGGCTGATCTCTGACACGACAGACAGTTTATTGATCTCAACTTTTCATTCTTGGTTGATCAGCTGTGCCCGTCTGCGTTTTTGTTTCGCAAATTATGATCTGAAATGCGGGATCTTAGCCGAATGTCGACCATCAGAGCGGGATCTTAGGGGAGACTTTTGTATAGTAAAAATTCTGTTTTCCTAAAACAGCGGGATCTTAAGCGAACCGGGATCGTAAGCGGTGGGATCTTAGGCGGAGACTACTGTATCACCGAAGACTTTGAAATTGGGAACTGAACAAAATATCATGCAGAAGTGTAAGCTGAGCCTAAAAACCATGAAGACATAACAATAAATTCTTTTTTGAGGAAATTTTTTTAAAAAGCCAGAAATAAATTACTGGTGGACAACAACAAAAAGCTATATCCTAACACAAGCAGTAGGAGAATGCAAAACTTGAAATAATTTTTGACTATCCAACAAAAATTGTTATGTAGAATAAAGGATACTGTCCATGGAATGATCAGGTCGTATTCGGTAGCCTTCTTCATCCACTTCAATATTCTGAAACAAAATCAAGATAAACAAGTTAATGGTAAACAACATACCTTTCAAGTGAGCAAAATCCAGTAAAACATTTTTTAAATGTGTTCCTTTTTATTCAAATATGTTTACAATGTTTATTTGTTGAACCCATTTTCTAAAAATAAATCAAGAAAATTTGTTAGAAGAATATATACAAAACCCATCAAGCAAAATGAAATCATGAATCGAAAAATATTTTTTTTTAAACAACTAATCTATCTCATTAAACAAATTCAAAAACAGATATAAGGCCTTTAGAAAGACCAATTTACTCAGATTAATTTTCTTGCTAAAATTCTGTAGGAAAATAATGATCGTACTCAGACTCAAAAATATTTCAAAGGAAAGCTAGAAGTTTACTCACAGCATCTTGACTCTCAGCATCACTGAAACAAGTAGGAAAAGAAACACACAGTGTTATCTATTAGATGCATAAGGAGCCAGTACAACACAAAATACTTCACACATTCTTCAAGTCAACTCCTTGATAGCACAAATAGCTTCAAGTACCACATCTGAAACAAGACGTCAGATATCATGGTTTGTTACACATTTCTGTACTTCGATGCACTAAAAATATATACTATTCTCTATTTTTCAAGTCATCAATCTGATAAATACATCTACATCCAATCAGCATACTCAAAGATTTTTGGACCGATTCATTCTTTATTTGTTTACAGTCTTCTCAATCATTTACAGAACAGTTACAGAGTGAACACTACTGAACCATCTCTTCCTGTAATCTTATAGAAACCATGATGAAACACGAACAGGAAACACAGCCTCCACAACACGACAACCCAACAATCTGGGCTTACATATGCCCTAAATTAGCTATGTAAGTTCAGTGGCTTAATTACAGCTATGGCAACAAAAGAATTAATGAAAAGAATGCTACTGTACTTACTTTGATTCATTGTCTTTATCATCTTTATCTTTTTTACTGCTCTTCTTCTTTTTCTCTTTTCTTTTATTCTTGTTCTTCAAAAACCCTGCAAAAATATACAAATACAAAACCAAGTTAACATGACTTATTTCAAAGGTCATCTTTGTGGACTTTAGAGACACAAACTTATTATTCAATGCACTTTTAATAAAGCAAGTTGCAACATGCATTGCTCTACCAAAAAGAAAACCCAACCATGTTTGATGAGCATCAAAAAGAAAGAAATCAAGACCCACACAAATTAGATTCTTGGTACATTTACTTGCAATATGGATAAAAATAATGCTTTATCAGTGTTAATGATCTATTGGGTCTATTTAATGAGAAATGAACTGCGAGAAGTCTTAAATGCGGACACATCATGAAGAATCCTTCAGCTGTGTCATATTGGTGTAATTAGACATTCTAAAACTAAGTCAACAGCTTTTAATTTACTCATAATTTGGAAAAACAACAGAAAGGGTGGGTGCAAATGTTACATAAGTTTTGTTACAGGTTAAGTGACAACAGAGTCTCCGGTCATTCCAGTACGAACCTAATGAATTTATACTTTGTTTGATTTCAATTTCTGCATTTCAACAGCACTCTTTCTGCAGCTTTCAAAGATGTCCTCAAAATCATGTGATTGACTTTTCCGAATTTCTCTCACAAGCAGCCTACAGCTACACACAGCATAATACAGAAATCTGATCAAGAGTTCTGCTTAAGCATCTCCATGAAATATGTTGTCTCATAACTGTTAAAGAAATATTCATGCTTGTCTCTACAACTGAAAGTCCAATCAACTGGTACGAGTATGATGTTTACTGAAACAATTGAGTTATCATATGATCTTTCTAAAAACTTACGGAGTCAGTTTCTCTACAACAACAGATATAGACACGTAAAACTGCAGAATGCAAAGCTGGAGGCACAGTTAGTAAAAAGCCTTTTGTATGACACTGAACAAGTATCCATAAAGCTGAGATGAAAAGCAGGCACTAGCTTCACCTACTGGGACAAGTATTCATTAAATTACATCCAAGAATAAATTCAAGCCAGTCTTGGATTTATTCGCCCCCCTGAAACACTAGGATTTGCAGACAAATACTAGAAGAACTAGATCTAATAACGTTAATGTAGCAGTGAGTGTGTCACATATGCAAAAGAGAAAAATTATGTATAATCACTAAAGGGAGAGCTTGAGAGAGAGAGAGAGCGCCTTTGGGAATGGCCTAAAGACACTACAGTCAGTGGCACTGGGGGGGGGGGGGGGGCGCATATACCACATTCAATGAAACATCAGTTGGAGGGGACCAGCTACTAAACATTAAGTATTACCATAACATTTTCACTGATGCTAATGTAGTCACATGGTATTTTAGACACATCCTTGACTGAAAATAAAAGCACTATTGATGGGGTTTTCTTATACGTTTCAAGCCGAGTTTGTGCGAGTTACACAGTTCGAGAATAACACAAACACAATAACACAATGCAGCACATGAAAGCAAGAGGACAGTCAGTATAACAAAATGGGGTAAAGAAGTAAAGAGTCACAATTAAGAACCCTCCTCACCAGCAGTTTTTTTTTAACTGCATGAATTTCTAATTATTTTCAGTTTGGGTACTTTCACAAACACAACCTTATTTTCACCAAAATATCCAATATGAGGGTGAATACGATCTGAATCCAAAAAAATCCAGAATTGATAGACACATTCTCTGCAAATCACAACAGAAAAAGACCTCCTATTTTAATCCACTTAGTCCTAATCTTTACTCTCCTCCCCCTAGTGGCACTGAACAGTCTCATAACCAACAGTGCACATCTTTTTTCCACCACAAAAGTAGAACAGTTTGAAAGTTTCAATATTGGAAGATCAATTCAAAGGTTCCGTATAACTTTCAATCATCCTAGACCTACCGAATACAATGAAGGTAAGATATTTTTACTAATACTGGCCACAATTTTGTTCTGTAAAGATTGTGAAAACATTTGCAATCTGTGTGAGTAAAGGAAAATGTGACCCTTCTCCGTTGGTGCTTGTGACACAAACATGACTTGCACACGACAAAAACATCTAAGGCAAAGAAGAGAATTCCTTCAATTGGTAACAACAACTATGATTCTAAAATCATTCATAAAGATTCATGCCAAATGATATTTCAATAGGGAACATGTTTGACACACACATAGACACAATGCTAAAATATTATGCTCTGTGTTAACTTATTCAACAAGGACATCAAATAATATTATTAAAACAAGATAAAGATTTATAATACAAAAGATTTACATAATGGTATTTCTCTAACCGTCCATATTCATTGAACAACATAGATCATACTTGTTAGCACAAGTTCAAGGCACACAGAAAGATGCAAAAAGAAGACTGGAAAAACAGTAGGAAAAACAGAAATCATCAAGTTGAAAAAAAGCAAAAACAAAACAAGCAGCTTTCTCCACCTCCACCAGCAAAAAACAAAACAAGAGAAGCCAAGCACCAAGTTACAATGAGGAAACAATCCAACAAGTAACTATGAGAGCTCAAGCATTGCCCAAGAGATGGAGTTGAGATCTCGCTGAGAATCATTCACTGAAAGAAAGAAGAGACCTGAAATGGGAAAACTGCACAGGACCTGTGACATCTATTCACTCAACACCCTCAGATAAAACGGCCTACTCATGAACACAACACAACAGCTTATCCCACACACCACAATGCATCCACAAAAAAAAGCATGCGTTCATACACATGAAAGGAGATAAACCACACAATCCAACACAACACCAAATGCAGATTTCTAAGAAACTGAAATCAATTCAAATCTACTTCAACACCAAAGTTCTACAGCCCAGTCAGCAGGGAGATTGTGAAAGACAGAGAGAAAGAGCCAAAAAAAAAAGAAGCAGCAAAGATGAAGAGAACACTGCTCCTAGTCACAATCTATATTTGTTGTAACCTGTGCAAATACAAATTAACATAACATAACACCACAAGACACAGTCAAAACACTTTTTACTGGCAGGAACATACTGAACCTTCTCAATGAAGTTTTAAGAGAGAAACCTTTACTGTTTGAGTCCGAGGCATAAAGAAAACAAAACCAAAAGCACGAACCAATGTGACTAAAAGAACAACAGGAAAAATCAGGTAATTTTTCCACAGAAACTACAAGCTATACACACTTGACTAATGTTTCACTATAAACTAATTCACAACTTTTTGGGACAATCAATACTCTGCCTTTAAAAAAAAACAACCTACTCTGGGTCAGTTACTACAGTTTCTCAACTGATGTAAACAAACTAAACTATGCCAGACAAGCTATGCAATAAAGAAGTGGAATGTTTTTGTTTTATGTTCAATAGAAATATGTATTTAACCATACACTAAATATCTTTTCAACTGACAGTCATCTATGAAGCTTTTATATTAAAGGTCATATTTTCAAATAATAATTATTTCGATTATTTTAAAAGTCATGTCTTCAAATTGTTATTCATTTGATGATTTAAAAAAATATATTTATTGAATTGTGCAGTGAGGTACTGTTGTGAAGGCACTAATCAACACTGAACACGACTGAGCCTCCCAGCTGACACAACACTCACAAACATGTCACACACATGCCATGTGTTAGTTGACAAGGGATTTGTGTCATACACTGATGCTCTTACCAGTGTCTCAAAACAATGAAAGATTGAAAAAAGGAACACTCAACCAATACCCATGGAAAAAATTTTCAGACTATCACAGACATTGGAAAGTAATAAAACTATAGAAGCAAAGTTAAGCAGAAAAAAGAATGAAGTCTAAATTTTCTGATAAATTCCAAATATTTACTTTTTCTTACCTTATTCAATTACAATAACATTGCAGTTACAATTCAAGAGAAAAGCAAATATTTAAAAAAGTATTTAGTTTGTTTTCAAAATCCATGTTCAATGGCATACATGTTTTTGGTTTGCATATCTACAAATTTAGCATTTGATATTTGCAAAAACTAGCTGCAGTAGGAAAATACCCTTAATCAATAGGAAAAGCTCCCCAGACCCCTCTTATCCGTCACAGAGCACTGTGATTTCGGTAAGAGGAGCAAAACCCAGAAAGGAACAGAAAAAGCAAAAAAAGAAACCACTTCAAAACCCACCAATTTAACAAAAAGAGATTAAAAGGAAAACCCCAACACATCGAGGAAGTACTGGTGGTTACACGATACACATAATGCAAAGAACAACGACTATGCAACAGTAAGGCTCCAAGAGAAAGAAGCTCAGTGTGTTTACATGTGCGCGACACGCGTAGTTTGACGCTGCGACTCAGCGGGCCTGGCTGGTCGGAGAGCACAGGGCTGCTGCCGCTCCCAGAGGCCTCTGAAATCACAGGTAGGATCCCAGGAGATTACAAACACAGGACCCCCAGGGGTAGCCATGGCGGGGGGAGGGGGTGGGGAGGAATGAGGAAGAGAACAGGGGACAGAGAGAGACGGGAGTGACAGGAGAAAAAGACACAGGGAGAGACAATGAGAGAGGTGGGAGAAAAAGGGGGAGACATGGAGGGAAAACAAAGGAAGATCAAGGGCAGTGATAGGGGGAGAGAGAGACAGGGGAGAAAAAGGAGAGAGACAGGAGGGAAATATAGGGGGGGGGAACAGAAAGGGGTGCAAGACAAGAGGGGGAGAAAGGGGAGAGGCAAGGGGGAGGGGGGAGAATGGGGAGAGACGGGGGATAGAAAAGGGTGAGACATTTGGAGCAAGGGGACGAAGCAGGGGGGGAGAGACAGGAGGAGAGGACAGAGGGGTGGGGATGGGTAGACAAGGATAGCAAGCAAGAACGGGAGGGATTAAGGGAAAGGCGGAAGGGGGAGGGGGGGGGGGAAGAAAGGGGAAAGGGACAAGGTTGAGAGACAGGACATACCCAGGAGGAAGAGTAAAATAATGAAACAGCAAGATAAAAGAAATGCATCTATCTCTCTCTCTACATAAATATATCTCTGTGTGTGTGTATATGTGCATATATTTGTAGGAAAGCTGACTGAAGGTTTACAGTAAAAAAAAAAATATCATACAACATATAAATATAAATATACATGAGAAGCTAGTAAGTGAAGAAATTGGTGTTGCAGAAAGAAAATAAGATCATAGAATCAGTCCTTTTTTCACACCAAACTGCTGCCTGCCAAATTTGCAACTCTCTTTTCATTATTACATTTTGCAATCTTAGGCAAATAAATTCGTGCCTTCAGTCAAATCTGTGGCTTCAGTATTCAACATTTAAAGGATGAGACAAGTGAGACAACAACAGCAAATTTCAACCAGCTTCTTCTTTGACATGCAGAATACATTAGGTCTACTAAAGACTTCAGTACTTACAGAAAATCATCCCAAAGACCCCTCATATTTATGCAGCATTTATATTATAAAGAAAAGGAGCCAATTTCGATCACATTTACACAGTATTCAAAGCATTTGTTCCAATAAGTTGTGAGAATCTGTCAATACCCTGACAGCATCCAGGAAACTTCATCTACTTCACATGGACTCACCATGTTGAAGTGTTTCTTTAAACTACTCCATTCTCTACTCTTATGTGTGCACACATTACTAGAATTCTTTCAAAAAATATTTTTCTAAAGGAAACAAAGGTCTGTAATTAATACCGAAAGTGTAAAAGAACAGACCCTTGTACAGCTTCCTCACTATGCTTCCTTTTTCTTTCTGTCTTGCCTTTTTCAATTCCTTTTATAAAAACCAACGGCTATCAGAATTCCCCTCTAAAGACATCTGATCTGCGCACCTTTCTTAAACAAGTGTAATTAATCAGTCCCCTACAAGGAGATATGGTAAGAATTCAGTACTCAATACAGCAAATATACTGGCAGTTACTTCATTATCTTACCAAAAGCCCCTTCCCAAACCCAACATCCTCCATTAAAAAAATTAAAATTGTTAAAAAAATTCTGCTTCAAACAACAGAGTTGCCTGTAAGAAGGGAACTGAATGCTAGTCTGCATCCTGAATCTACATCACCGATTTCCTCCACCTTGGAAAGAATAGCACTCAACCACATCTACGAGAGAAGTAACAGCAAAATATCTGGAAACATTGCTTTAGTACTAATGAAATGAAAACAGCTAATGAAAACCCCACGACAGGAAAATTAAAAACGCTCTTAGAGCTGTGCTATTAGTCAACAGTAAAAAAACAAACAAAATATAACAGAAGTAAGGAAGTGCAACTGCATCGTAACAGGAAAATACACCCCAAAAAGATACACAGGAATTGTCCTGAATGGAAACAAACAACAGTAAATGAATCAAGACTTGTTTGCAGCAACAAAAAAATATTTTTAAAAAATTCAGAATAACCCACTTTCATTCCAAAATATTTTGTGCCCATCAATATTTCTGTTCAGCACGACTCAAGTTTCTTTTAAGCATGTTTACAACTTCAGGTCTTGATGCAGAGCACTCCAATTGTTAATAATGCTGCATGATACAAGGCCACTAATAACTGATGATCTACAGAAAGCAAAAACTTGAGACCAATTTACCACCAAAGGCTGCTTCCATAGCTGGAAATAAGTATCACACTTTTAGTGAGAATGATGATACTGGCTGTGACAATGATTGTCAGGAGCAAATTTTGAGTAGGCCTATATTCAATATTGTTAATGTTGCCTCAATAATCACATAACACAAAAAAAATATCTTACGGCTTCTGCTGGTTACTTTAGCTGTTTCACAGCTTGCAGTGGGCGTGGCCAGCGCAGAGCAGTCATTTCTTACCACATCGCAAAAGATATTCAGGCATTGAAAAGCTTGTTTAATATTACTACCAAGTGTGCACATCACGTCACTTTGTGTGAGCTGAAAGGTTCAACTTACTCACTGTGACACCATACAACTTCAAATCTTCATTCAGAAAACAAATTTCTCAAAGAATGCCCCAAGACTGATGATGCCATGGTTGGGACTTTTCACTTTAACAATCTGGATTGTGTGCACAACCTTTTGGCTCAAATGCTTAGTGTGGCAGTGGTAAGCAGACCCCCCCACCCCCCAAAAAGCTATGTCAATTTTGGTGTGAGAAGAACACACAACAGATGTCACTCAATTTCAAAATGAAAAGGGTGGTTATCAAAGAACACTGAAAGATACAAAGAAATATTCACAAGTCCTTACAGTCCGTCTGACACAGCCAAGGTAAAATCATACCTTGTTTGGGATACATGACTCCCAAACCAACGAATAATAATGGTGATATTGTGTAATCTCTTTTCATCTACTACTTACAAAAAGCAGAACACAGAAAAATACAAAATGAGCAGTGGTGCCCAAACGATTTATGCTCTCTCCCTAAACCCACAGACTCTCGTGCTATCAGGATACATTGATAAAAATGTCAAGTCTTCTCATCACACACAGACAAAGTAAACTACCTTGCTTCTGTTTCTCAGTGACAGCATCCTTCTTGTCTCCACTTGGTTCGGGGGACATGGGTCTGTTGGCTGTCAGGCTGGACACATCAGGCTCCACAAACTCTATTGGACCTGGAATTGATTTGGAGACAAGGGAAAGGCAAATGGTGAGAATCTGTCCATTGAGGTATTGAGAACTGAACAAGGACATGGGGTTTTCTCTAATTGAGTACAGAGAAGCACATTGACACAAAAAAGGTCACTAAAAGTCATTAAGTGCTGAGGAAAGGTTATATAGACAAAAACAACACGAGGGAAAGAAAAAAAAAAAGAAAAAAAAAGAGCAATAGCACCTGCAAGTGGTGCCTCCAAAACAACAGAAATATGATGCATGAGAAATAGCAATAAAATTTCACATTGCATGTAAACAAGCAGTAACACAAGCAAAGACAGCTAACTACAAACATATAAATGCACATATGCATGAACAGGCTTTACATAAAAAATAAACCAAATGTAACCTTTTCCTTCTTTGTGGAAAAGAAAAGGGAAAAAAATGGCTTAAAAACAAAAAGAAAACGTACCAGGTTTTTCATCCCCTGTGCCTTTCTTCTCAATGAATGTTGACATCAACTTTTGCACTGTCATCTCTTCACAGTTCTGCTTGAATTCTTGATGCACCTATAGCATTTTGGTAAACAAATTTTTGAAGATTTAAGAGGAAAGTACATACAGCAAGAACAACTCCAGATGGCAATTGAGGTAGGGGATGATCCCAAGAGACTTCTCAGAGAAAAGCAGACAAGATAAAGATGAAGAAAAAAAAATCGTCCGGAAGCTTCCTTGAGAATATTGACAAAAAGACAAGACCAAACAAAAAGAGTCCTTATGCAAATTTTCATAGATACAGCAGCAACCAAACCTACTGAGCTATAGAAATGATCAAGAAAAGTATGCCAAGAAGTACACAGAAGACAAATGAATAAATCCTCTCTACTTAAAAAAACAACAACATTTAATCATAACTCACAAAAGATTTCGGATGTAAAAGCTGACAACAACAAAACCCCTCCCCAAAAAATCAATGTGTAAAAAGGACAAAAGTTCTCTCAAAATATAAAAAAAATATGACGATCACAGTTTGGCAATAGAAGCTTTGGCTTAGAAACAGTTAGGGGGCTACAGATAACATTAATCACTTAATAAAGGTATGTATGAGCTAATTCACTACCAAATGCAAGAATAAATATGACTTCTCTGTCTCTTTCTGCCTCTTACGCAAGTCCATTCCAAGTCTCTCTTCTGACAATTACCTCCTGCAAACATGCCCACACAAAGAAACAGTTATAAAAAGTCTCTTCTAGAGGGTGCGGTGGCCAGTGCGTTCGTCTCAAGCCTCGATTCAGACACGGATTTTTTTCAGCCCCCTCCTGCCCACCCAGCAGTAATGGGTACCTGATTTCGAGTTGGGGAAGTAAAGGCGGCGTGGAAAGGAAATGGCCACCCTACCACAATATGCAAAGGCCCAGGAAGTTGTCTCACTAACAAGGCAATCCCCAATGTCCGGATCAGATGCGGGAACAACTTAATTTTTTAAACTAAAAATACTCAGTATTGCTTTTGTAAACCTACCTGTCCTAACAGAGCATGTTCATTCTCCCATGACTTGGCAAATGTGTCGATAAAATCCTTCATTTGACAAATATGCTCTTCTTCCAGTTCCTGATAGTGCTGTAACAAGAATAGAGTCAGAGCGTGTAGATAAAATTACGCAAACCAAAAGTACAAAACTATATGTATAAAATACACATGATCAGTCTTTGAAAACACCCATTTTCCTTTCACTATGAATACTTTACAGACAATAGATGAACTTCGATAAATAAACATTCCAATCCAGACATGAAAATTAAGACATAGAATCTCTCACATATTCTTGTTGGCAAAAGAAAAATATGCTATTATATTGAATCATGCTTTATAGGGGGTGCCCACATGCGCGGTCGGGTCGGGTCGGGCAGCTTTCTTGTGGTTTCAGTGCACACTACAACCCCATCGCGATTGTACCCAACGACCTGGAAGTTAAAAGTAGAGAAACCTTTAACCTACATGCGACTACACAGAGGGCTACGATTGGCTGAACCTTTGACCCATGAATACATAAAATAGGCCAACGATACTCTTGGACTTCCCGCCCTCCCTCTCTCAGTCTCTCTTTCTGTGTGTGTGTGTGTGTGTGTGTCTGTGTGTGCATGTGTGTGTGCGTGCGTGCGTGAGTGCTTGATTGCTTTATTGTCTCTTTCCTTTCTTGTCTATTTTTCACTTCCCATATCAGAAACCTAGATCTAGCAATGTAAACATTGCTAGATCTAGATCTCTGTATACATCTCTCAACTTATCGCTCTCCCTCCCTGTCACTCTCACCACCCTCCCTCTGTAGTGCTCCTCCTCCTCCTTCTTATTCGTCTCCTTCTTCCTCTAGGCCTATGAGCGCTCCAAACCCGCTGTGAGAAGTGAGAAGACGGTCAAAGGCCTGAGACCGAAACTGGGAATTCCCAGAATACCTACTTAATGTATTCATCGGTCAAAATGGACACATGACTCAGCCTTGTTGTGATTGAATGCAAACAACCCGATCGCACGATTCGCAGGCTAGAAAACAAACGCGTCTGTTTTTGTAGGTCACCGATCAACAATCGGTTTGTGCCACAATGGCCGCTTTGCGCCCTCAATCTGGCTAGCCCTGACTATCCGATGGGCCCGACCCGACCCTACCCGATCGCGTATGTGGGCACCCCCTATAACACAGTGATCAAAGAATATTACAGTTATTCATTTTTCTTGAGACAGTGATGACATACAACAGCTGAAAATTCCTTACATGACATGACTCAATCATTTTCCCTTCAAAATCATTCCGGACTTCTTTGTACTTGTCAATGAGGACTTTGTATTCATCCACTGAAATACAAGAGGGAAGTGGGCCAAGTAATTAATCTGCAGTGATAAAAAACAAAATCAAGAAACATTTCTTTACCAAATTTCAGACTACATGAAGCAACACTCTACTCTCTGAAATCCTCTTCCATAACAAATTTCCTTCACACAATATCACATTAAACGTAAAAACTTTAATGGGAAAGTTCACATTATTCTCCTAAAAGGTGACGTTTACATTATACTTCCAAAATAGTTATGTGTACAAAAGATAAAAACAAATACAAATAATATAGTTACATCTCTCCATAAGAACAATCAAGGGAAAATATAAAATATTCCTTCAAAAATGTAATTAGAAGATGAATAAACTGAAATATACAACCATTCTTCACAAGACTTTAAAATGTGAAAAAAAATTGAAACTTACATGCTTTCTTGTTCTTCACCTCAGCCTGGGAAATGAAATAACAAAAAGTGCTTATTGTTTGACTAAAACAAAAAACACACATCCCCAGTCCTCATTATTTTGTTTTGTCTCTTTCTCCAACACTGAAGTACTCATGCATCGACAGCACTGCTGTTTTCTCACAGTATCAAACTTTTTAAATCAATCCTGAAAAACATAATTTTCTAACGAGACAGATAACAATGATACATGTTGGAAACAGAGAATATAATTTAGAGGAAAAGATGCCAAGAAGAAAAAGAAAACAAGGAAAGAGAATCATCTCAGCTGCTGACTGGCAGTACTTTTCAAATTATTGCGCTAGTTAAGAATAAGAGGCAACAAAGGACACAACAAGTATCCAAAACATTGTCAGTTAGATCAAGAATCACACCAAGCCAAAATGCTAGCTGATTACTCAATAAATCTGAAGAAAAAAAAAAGCAATAAAAATTCAAACTGAAAGAAAGCAAAGTTGAGAAATCGCACACTCTTCAAAACTATGTGACAAAAACCATGACGGAGATTTAGTGTGGTTACTCCAATCATACCTTTTCAATGTCTTTTGCTGATGCATTGTCTCTTCTTAACCTTTCCAGCTCAAAGCATCTTGTATGATAAATTTCCTTGGCCTGAAAGAGATGGAAGCAATGCCGATTATACTGACACATCTTATTCCCTTATGTATTTTCAATATGCAAACAGTTTCAGGTAAGAACAAATTGTTTTTAATTTTACCCGGGGGATACTAGACACATATACATAAATATGCTTTTTATTTTAATCTACAAGAGAGTGAACTTAATGTAGTTAGGGTGAATGACACAAGAAAAGATTTTATAAGCACCTTATTACTTAACCAGTGAGATAACAAAAAGCAATCAGTCCTCACCTTGTGCAATGCTGTGGTTGTCTGTTGAATGGTCTGGACAGAATCCAGTGTGCCCTGTTCATTTTCCTTCGTCTAAAAGATAAACAAGAAGGACAAAAATATTACATATTGTGCTCTAACCCACATACATATAACTCCCAATACTCAAGCCTTACTCACTGCATTACTGAACATGTATGTTCCAGAGTAAAAATTGGTCTCTTCATGGGAACTCTGGTTCTTTGAATCACTAAAAAACTGTAGAATTACAAGACATGCTTTAATTTATGACTTCGCGTGTAGCAATGCCAATCAAGCTTCTGCGTAGGGGAAATTTTGTTACTCGTTTGCAGGTATATTTTTTAACTGGGTCGGATGAAGGTGACGAACTTCCTCAAACTCGTTTGGCTCTACTTCTGGACCAATGTGAATGAAACTTGGCAACCAATCAGAAAGTAGGGCAAATTAATGATATGCGGATGTTAAATTGTTGTTTTCAAATCCCTTTAGCTACGAGCATTTCACTCTTGGCAGCTCAATGCCGCCCTCAAGTAACCACATGTCCTTGTCATCTGGTCGTTGCCAGAGTAGAGTAGGCTTTGTAAGTCTGTAGGTGAGTGTAGGAGCCTGCGTTGAAGAACAGCCAGGTTTGGGCAGTGAAGGAAAAGATGTTCAATGGTCTCCTCGTGGTAGTCACAGTGTCTGCAATGGGGTTCCCATATGGGGTTAATTCTGTTTATGTACTTGTTGGTGTGTAAGTGTCCTGTGCGGGCTCTGAAGATCAACGTCTGATCAGCTCTACATAAGAGATTCAAAGGGTCTTTGGGGTTGGGTTTGTCCATATACCCGAAGAGAGATCTTCCTGTTTCTGCGTTGACCCATCTGTTTAGCCACTCGTCTCTGCTTTTGGCTTGGATGATCCCTCTGCAGGTCTGGAGTTTGTACACATAAATTAACCTATATTTTTGGTGTTGGAAGCACTTTCGTATTGAGTATTGCGTAAACTATAAAGAGCTTGAATTTCAACATCGAGAAGGTAAGAGATCTATCTTTCCTCTACAGTGTTCTCAAATTTGAATGTTTTGTGTCAAGTAGTTATTTAGAATTTATTATAAATGTACCACAACCCCCCCTGTCAAAAGCGGCTTCGCACTGAGATGGCCCATTTTCCCCTCGCTCCCTCTGCAAATGTCTGTAGCCTACAAATGGCCGCATGAATATTTCAAGCCCGTTCATTGGTCACTTGAAACAGGGAAATGTCGGGTCCATGCATCTCACTGTTTTTCTCTCTGTTCCCCTATAACATTGCAATGGTGGTATTCCAAGAAGAGCTTATCTTGCCTCGGGGTGTTCGTGTCTCAACGAGAAAAAAGATTTTTAATTGTACGGCATGTTAGATTGAATGAATTATATTTTATGGTTGGCCTTGGTCCAAAGTCATCAAAGAAAACTTTGCGATTATTTAATCACGCTGCCAACATATTATTATTCTTAAAGATCCCATGTTGTGATACGATGCTATAAATAAAATGCTCTCATCCTGACACCCTTTTTTTTTCTCAAAATATGTTCACCAAAATTTTAATTATAACAAAATAACTACAAAATGGTTAGTAAATCTGACTGCAGAAATGATTTCTCCACCCAAAAACACATTATTGAGTAGCCAGGTTTCTTTCAAAGATTCCATTAAATTTTGATATTATCAATTTTCTTACAGAATCTGCTGTTATGTGGTCCATTTTTTTGGAGTATTTTCCTATATGTGGGTCATCCATATTTTGCCGACCTTTACAACCCTATAACTTTTGTATTTATGAATCGATTCTTTAAATCCAAAAAGCATGATTCTTAGAATTGAAAACTCTTTCTTCAATTTTAAATAAAAAAGTGCTAAAGTGAAAAATCCAATTTTTCATTGACTTTGCTATCCCATGGTAGGTCCACCCCTGCACGACACTCAATATCATCCCAACAAAATGAACTCATGGCGACAGCTGTATTCAAGATTAGTTATCATATTTTGGAACTATGTAAGTTTTACATCCCCCTCTACACAACTGTAGATCATTACGGAGGCAGGCTGCTTGACCCTGCTTGTCAGGGCCAACCCAAGCTGAGAAGAATGCAATGTTCCAGCGTGCAGATGGAGATCTCAATAACAAAACCTCCATAGATTTGAATCGAACTCACATCTTCTGTATGCAATGGGGAAATCCTAACCAATATACCACAAATGCCTGTAAATTAATGAGTGGTAAATATATTCATTTTTAGAAAAACAAAGCACATCTTCCCAAAAAATTATTTACTGAAATTCGTTTACACATATCTCTAATACTTGTAACTTAAAAAAAGACATCAAAATACTGAAGACGGAACATTGGGTCCCAGTACTAGCAGCAGCAACAGAACTAGCTTTTTAGCTGACTGACCGTCTTATGCCGTTTGTGTTGCTCCTCGCTGTAGCGCACCATGTCCTTGATCAAGTCTGCCCATGTGTGCACAAGCTGCATCTGCAGTGTCGACAGCTTCTCAATCAGATTTTTCAAGACATTCCAAAAGGGTCCGAAGGTTCTGAAAAATTAAGTAATGACATAAGATCAATTACCTCGTGTTGTATTGCTCTATCCATTCTTGGACATACAGTGTAAACCATAATATACAATAACAAAAGAGAAAAAAAGAGAGACTGATAGACCCCTATACATCGCCCTCCCAACACCTGCAGGTTGTGATTAGCTGCTGCAACTATGTGCCTTTTCCCATACCCTCGATACAGAAAACACGAAAAAGAAAAGGTAACATGCTGCTACACTCAAACCACACCCAAGGGGAGAGAACAGTCAGCAGCTCATTGTGAGTACATGTAAAACAAAATGGAAATGCAGTTACATCATCACAGTCCAATAAAATTTTTTAATGAAAACAAAAAAACCAACACCAACCATAATGTGTTCTGCCCTTACTTCAAATTGAGGTTAGTGACACAAAATTAACAGCATCAGATACTCACCCAACTTGAGGGGTATTTGCAGCTAACTTTGCAAGCTTGGTAAGCAATTTACTGTAATTTTCCTCAACAGTGCAACTGAAAATATAAAAAGCCAAAGATGATCCTCCATAACTAATAAGATGTGTATGTTGAACTATGCTGTAGAAAAAGAATATGAACAGACAAATTTACAAAGAATGCATTGTTTCATCAAGGTCACACAAATAATATTCTACGCAGCTCATTAAAATTAAATGTGCAAGATGAGCAAAATTTGCTCAGGTAATAAAGTATTAAAACACATCAGACATACATTTAAAAACCCAAAAAGCCTGAAACTGGAAGACTTCAGTCCTGAATACTTGATAGTGATAGTTTTACAAATTAAAAAAAACTCAGAAAGCCAACTTCATGCTGTCTTTTGACTTTCATAAACAAGAGACCGACTCCTAAAAGACACCTACCCACGTCACACAACCTGGCCACATGAAATAGCTCATACAGCAAAATCATATCACAAAAATAATGGAACACTGGAACACTCCAGAAGAAAAGGAAATAGAAAAATGTTAGTGGACTTTTTTCACACTATCCCTATTATCTGGAGTAAGTTTTAGCAATTGTTCTAATCTTCACTCACCAAGTGCCTCCAGGTTGTTAAAGAGCTTGTCTCTAAAGGGCACTGGCACTGGGCCTATGGCCACTTTGGGTTCATTCATTGACCTAATTCTTTATCTCCAGCAAGCAGCTCCCAGCGGCTCGCAGTCGGAACCCCTGTGCCGGTGAGCCGCTGACAACGGCCCAGGCACATTCCTTTACGACAACTTCGACACCAAATTACTTTTCGGCAATTGCCAAAAACAGGTCTCTTATACCGGAGTTCATTCATCAGACAAAGAACTATCAAAATATGTTTGCTACTTTCGATTTAATAACTCATTTAATGACTTTTTTTTTTTTCATTTTTATATTTAGCACCAAAAAAGGGCTCCGGCGTAGTGGGTTTACCCCCCTCGGAGATAAAGAGTTTATACTTTTCCAACATCTAAAATATCAACAAAATTAAAGAGCAAGAGCAATATTAAAATTAAACATATTCTTGTGCATCTTTCAACTTATTTCCACTTTTCCTTTTGTTTTAGAAACAATTAAATCATAGACACACCACCAGCAAAGGAAATACAAAAGAGCCAAACCTTTCTCGAAGAAAATCAACCAACTCTTTCGTGGAAGTATGGCCATGTTTCATATTATGATACAAGGCGAAGTATCCATTGTTTTTGGGACCCTGCAAATAAAATTTTACAAGACTTTAATGAGATTTATGACAGGAATACCATCTATGCTGATAACAAAGCAGTTTAAAAATGAAAGATAACAACAATATTTTCACCTTTTATCCAAAGAAATAAAAAATCTCTCTCTCTCTCTCTCTCAACCTATGTACATATATATAATACATGCAAAACAAAAACAAACCAGATAAACTTTAAACCCACAGGTGTGGCAAAACACTTGTGTATAGGAAACTCCTGCCAACTTTAGTATTTATAGAAAGTGTGAAAAGGACGCTTCTGCTTCATTACTATAAATCCTTGTTAGCTCCTTCTCTGGAATTATAAATCAATGAGTGCAGTTTTATACCAATACATCGCTGCAGCAATGGTTGGCATGCATTAACATACAAATGTGTAGAGGTAGTAAAAATTTTCCCTTAAAATTAAAACTTGCTCTCTAAAAAAACAAAAAACAAAAGAAGGTATAAAACAGTAAACCAAAATTCATGTTCAATAATATTTTTGTCCCAATGTTCTAGTTCATTTTCAGAAACACATAATAATAGACTTCTTCTTTGCCCTCCCCTACTAGATCATAGGGATAGCGACTGCTGGCTCTTTAACCAGCAGTGCAATTTTCACAAATGTTGAAATACCGCAGAAAAGACCTATTTATTGTCCGGACTTATGACTAGTCCAGCTCAAAGCTACTAACAACCATCTTCCTTAACGACAAGAAGGAGGGGGAGGGGGAGGAGGAGGAGGGGGAGGGGGGGAGGAGGAGGAGGAGGAGGAGGAGAAGAAGACGAAGAAGACGAAGAAGACGAAGAAGAATAAATACCGTCGTGAAAATCTATTTATTAATCCAGACTTACAACTAGCCAAACCTACTCTAACGCCAACGTCTACCTTTACAAAGGACACCCCCTCCCCTCCCCCGGCTCTTTAACCTGGAGTGCAATTATGTTGAAATACTGCAGTGAAGACCTATTTATTGATCCGGACTTATGACTAGTCCAGCTCAAACCTATTAACGACCACCTTTCTAAACGACTAGAAGAACTTGTAGAAGAAGAAGAAGAAATGTTGAAATATCGTCGTGAGAACCTACCTATTTATTAATCCAGACTTATGACTAGTGAAACCTACTTTAACGCCAACGGCCACCTTTACAAAGGACCCCCCACCCCCACGATTTGTTGTTTTCTATTCTATGATATGGCATTGGCCAAGACATCCCTGGATGGATACTAACAGGAAACAGCGAACTCGTCACACGGTGTCGTCACAGCTGAAAAACGTGTGGTGAGTTCACCAGAAAAAAGTATCCAAATAACAGTTAACGGCACTCTTCGGGAGAAGTGGTCCCGACCTAATGCCTTACAAATTTATACACATAGATCTATTACACAATCGGAAACAAAAACGGAAGTAGAGTAAAAACAGCTGGTATAAAAATAGGTTTGGGCCTTTTCTATAAATTTACTGTTGTCTGTCTTCTTCCATTTCTGAGCCTTTTTCCACTTCCAATTATTTAATCTGATAGAAGGCCTAACTTTTGATTCATCCCCTGTCGAAGCTGCCCCTTTTCGCCCTGTCCAATTTGCATCAGCTTTAACTCTTGTCCTGCGTCTGTGCTGAGATGCGAATCTTATCAGCAACCGATTACGTTGTACGTTCCAGGCAGGCCGCCGGGGTCACTTTGTGTGTACTGTTGGTGTACAGCCCGCGCGCCGGGAAACATGTGTTTTCGCCATGAATAACGCTGTATCTTTCATAGCTTTCTATTTATAAAGTATTACAAACACATGAATAACCCCCTCTCACAAGCTGATAGACATTACGATGAGTTAGGCCCATTTGAATAACCTTTCTAGACGCTCTTGTTGGTATGAATGACCTGAGGTTCGAAAGGGGATAATTTAGGTCAATTTCCGAATGTTTTGCACTCAAATTGTTCTTTGTACCTGCACATTGGTATTCAAAAATATAAAACAAGCTTCTTTCGAGCTCCAAATGTCTAAAATGGTCAATTTCTTCTATAATTTCATTGGACGAACATTTAGAGCTAGCTCTACCAACTTGGCGTGTTTTGAATGAGACGTACGTCTCAACTACGAACAAACGCAGGCGGTTCTAGAAGAAGGCCACAAACGCACACAAACTCAAGCAGACTGACCCACACACACTTGACCTGCCTGAATGGGGATCCGACGCGTGACCAGAATTGAACGCGAGATGATGCTCGGCGCGCGTGCGCTGAGCCAGGGGCTAGACTGACTCGGGACCAGAACGCAGGCGAGGTGCCATAATAGGCTTATCTGGCGACATAAACCCGGCCCTCAAAGGACGAGGGTTAGAGTGAAAAGTACACGGAGATGGAGTTTTCTGGAGCTTTTTTGCTAAAAATAGAAACAAGTGGAAGCCTAGGAAGCACAGATTTTATTTTTAGATAGAATCAAATGTGCAACGAGACATGGGTCAAATGATACGCAAAAGCAAAGTCTTGGTAGAGGCAGCGTTGAAGATTACCCCGTGGCCGAATTTGCCCCAACTTATGTGACGAAATAACTGTGACGAGATCACTGGAGGTATGTGACGACTTCACAGTGTGACGAGTTCAATAATGGATGATGGTCTTGAACAATTTAAATTTCAACTGTACTACTAGACTACTTGGGCTACATTAAATAGGCCTACTAGGCTACATCAAAATTTTGATTCAGACCAAAGGTACAAATTCAACACATTGACAGACCTGGACTAGGCCTAGATCTAGACTAGATCTAGACTGTCTAGACATCCATCTCATTTTGGCGTTAGCCTACATTAACTTTTAAGTATGACTGTAATGTCATTCAATATGCATCATGCGTGATGTGTGTAGCTTTGTACTTTTTTGTGGAACAAAAGTAAAAGAAAGGAAGAGGCTAGCCGTACTTAATGACGGCTAGACTGCTAGGCTGTAAGGCTAGACAGCTGGGCTAGCCGTACTTAAGTACGGCTAGACAGCTGGACTAGCCGTACTTATTTTTAATATGATGGCCAGACTGACCCACAAAATTTTTTTTAAATAGGCCTACTGAATTGTAAATAAATTATCAGTTTGCTGTAGATTCTACCTAAAGAGAAACCAGGTGCCTTAAAGTCAGTGCATGTACTTTAAACCTGAATAGTTACTAGTGAGACCTGTTTTCTAATGTTAATAGGGCCTAAGATAAGTACAGCTAGACTTCTTGGTTAGCCGTACTTAGACGGCTAGGCTAGCCGTACTTAAGGACGGCTTGGCTAGCCGTTCTTAAGGACGGCTAGACAATCAGGCTAGCAGTACTTATTATTGATGGCTGAATTTTAAATGACATTTTCTGTTTGCAATGCCTAAAGTATTTGTATTTCAGACAAAACCAAAAGGTGCCTTACTGACTTGCATATATTTTAAACCTGAATAATTACTAAATTACTTGATCTAGATCTAATGAGACCTGTGTACCCAACAGGTTTGAGTCGATAGGGCCAAACCTAGATCTTTAAAGTACGGTTAGACTGGCAGTCTAGCCGTACTTAAGTACAGCTAGACTCTCAGGCTAGCTGCACTTAAGTACCGCTAGATCTAGCCACTTCGTAAAAGAAAACCATCTTGAGTCTTCAGTTTTTCATTCTCAAGAATGAAGGCCTACAGTAGACTACACTAGGCTAGATCTAGATCTACAGACTAGTTACAGACAGTGAGGTGAGTGAGACCACATCCCCTTTGGAGTTTGATCTAGATCTAGATATCTAGATCTAGATCTAGATCTAGATCTAATCTACATCTAGAACTAGAAACTCAAGAATATCTAGACTAGCCTAGAAAATTTAGATCTAGGGTGCATGGATTTCACAAGCTTATAAGTTATAATCAGTTTCAACTTCATGTATACTAGATCTAGATCTACATCTACATATATAGAAATCTAGATCTAGATCTAGATATAGATCTAGATATAGATATATAGATTCTAGATCTTACATCTAGAATCTAGAGAGGTCCGCTAGATCTAGATTTCATCCTTTCTAGAATCTAGAACATAACAGGATCTCTGAGTCAAATCAAGATTCTACCTCTAGCCTCTAGATCTAGATCTAGATCTAAATCTAAAATCTATATAGATCTAGAATCTAGAATCTAGCTCCAGATAGATCTAGCCTTCTATTCATTGTGAAGGAGGTGTGTCTTTCTTCGGGAACTTCCGGTTTTTCCTTTCTGCAGAACCAAACGACTGTCCCTTTTTGTCGAGCAACCCTTCGGCTTTGCATAACAAGCAACAGATTTGAACCACCAGAATAAAAACCTTAGAACACAAATCAAATCCTAAAAGTCCGTTCCAGGAGAAAACCAAGGAAATTGTGCACATTCCTAAATTCTCAAAAAGAAGAAACTGCCCCTGTTATTGTCAAGAAGACCATCTCTTCCTCTTGTCATTCCAACTTGGCCAAATCAAAGAGGCAAAGCCAGTTAACAAACGACGTTGAAAAAGACTTAATGGCAGCTACAGATGCCAACTTAAACGTATCAAACACATTTTGAAAAATAAATTCACCATTTTCCTCTCACATAATATGAAATACGTGACCTACTCACCCAAAAGTGATCGGCAAAAGTCGTCATCTTGCCAAGGGATCATCAAGTAATACTTGGATCCATGAATATGATGGCGTTTATTTTGAGTTACAGCGCATGTCAGTGGGCAGATAAACGTGACTACTTCCTGTAGGCCTAGCCTAGTTTATCTTGATTTGTAACTGCTGCTGCTAGATCTAAAGTTACGCAAGGCTACTGTTATGAGCGCAACTGCTGTAGCCTAATAATACATGTAGTAATACACGTTGATCTATTCGTATACCCTATGCAGATTCCACAACTTCGAGCCTACAAGGTTGAAAATAAACATTATCGGAGAGAGAGAGAGATCAGTGGGCCGGGAGATGCTCTTTTTTATCTGATTATCGTGAAGATCATAATATTATTATTGGGCTGCATTTCATATTAGTATTAGGCCAAAGGGGAGGACTTCCGTAACGAGCGACCACTATGAGACAGAGCAGAATTGAGGGGTAGGGGTAGGCTAGTGGTAGGGTTTAGGTTAGGGTTTGGGTTAGGCCTCTTCTATATTGTGTTTGAAGGGGTGGTCGCTCGTTACGGAAGTCCTTCCGGCCAAAGACAGCAACAAAAAAAGACCTAGATTATCTAGATCTAGATTCTAGATCATAATACATTTTTTATCCTATTCGTCGCCCCCTCTTACTCTTAGTAAGAAAGAAGAAGAAGAAGAAGGAGGAGGAAGAGGAGGGGAAGGGGAGGAGGAGGGGCAGGAGGAGGAGGAAGAACAAGAAGAAAAAGCTGGTGAGGGTGTTAAAGACTTCTGGATTATTTATGAAGCATGCAGTCTGAGATATCCGGATCGCCAGCACGGCACCCCACGTGTCCCATCTGTTTTTCATACTTTTATTTTGTACGTTGTATTTATTGGAAGATATCCCAAGTCAAAAGTTCGAGTTTTCTTTCTCTTTTTATTTTGGGGGTTGGGGGTTTTGCATATATAGGGACCTGGTGGGTACAAGACTAATTAATTACATCTAGATCTATGTATCATAAATATTCCCGGAACTAGAAACCGAATTAAAAAGGCTGCGTGCGAGAACGAAAGTAGTTTCAAAACTTCCGGTTCATTTTCCACTTTCCACATGGCCAAGAAAGCACAGTGTTGGTAAATGTATATTAGTTTATATTCGGACAACTGTTTAGCAGTACGTTTTGGAAATATAATTTTGATTAAGCTCTTATAAATTAAGATTGCCATTCTATGGCTGCTCTTCTTATAGAAATTGTTTGGAAATGGGGATAAGCAGTTTGCTAGACTTCTCAGATTGAGATTCACCCTCTCCCTCACTCACTGGCCTCACTCACTCTCCTCCGTCTCCAGGACTTCCCGACTCCGTTCCATAGGCCTAGATCTATCTAGATCTAGATCTAGATTCTAGTATAGGACTAAAATTAATTCTTCTCACTTCATGTCCTCTCTTCTTGGTGATTGTATTACAATAATTCATATCCGCATCGGTTTCAGTCATGTCTCACCCAGTGGGAAAATACAATAGGAGGTTTTATTCACATGAAGCTGCAGTGGGCAATTGTTGGTGATCTTGTACTTGTAGTTCCGTTGGTTAAAGTCCAGGATCCGTTTGTTTACATCCAGTGAAGAAATCCAAAAATCTTGATGACCAAATACTATTTGAAATAGGCTACACAAAGAGCAGGGATGCAACCTAACTGCAAAACATAAAACGAAGTGGCTAGGCTAGACTGAGAGTCTAGCCGTACTTAAGTACGGCTAGACTGCTGGCAGTCTAGCCGTACTTACATCTAGATCTAGGTTTGGCCCTATCGACTCAAGCCTGTTTAGTACACAGGTCTCGTTAGATCTAGATCTAGTAATTATTCAGGTTCAAATACATGCAAGTCAGTAAGGCACCTTTTGGTTTTGTCTGAAATACAAATACTTTAGGCATTGCAAACTAAAAATTTCATTTACAATTCAGCCATCAATATTAAGTACGGCTAGCCTGACAGTCTAGCCGTCCTTAAGTATGGCTAGCCTGGCTGTCTAACCGTACTTAAGTACGGCTAGACTGCCAGTCTAGCCGTACTTATCTTAGGCCCTATCAACATTAGAAAACAGGTTTAAAATACATGCACTGTCATTAAGGCACCTGGTTTCGTCTCAAATACAAATACTTTAGGTACTGCACACTAAAAATGTATATTTACAATTCAGTAGGCCTATTTTTTGTAAATGGTCAGTCTAGCCATCATATTAAGAATAAGTACGGCTAGACTGCCAGTCTAGCCGTCATTAAGTACGGCTAGCCTCTTCCAACATAAAATTTAGGATAAAATTCAGAGGGACATAGATCTAGGTCTAGCACATATGCGATTAAAAGTAGAAAGACGCAAACTATTTTTAGGTATGGCGCCCATCTTGTTTGACGTCAGACCAGGATACCCCTCCAATCTCGTGACTACATCTAAGTATAGACAACTGCATGGCACCAAATATGGAAGTGTCTATGAATATGACGATGCCTAATCTACATCTTTCTCTCGGAAGTTCTGATAGCTGATTTGATAGCACGTCTGCGTTTGATGTCGTGCAATGACTTTTGGAGCGGTTTGATTCCGGTCCCGAACAGTTTTTTTTTTCTCTTTTCCTCCTCCCGACTGACCAACAGTTCCATAAATTGTAGGCCTAATTTGTAGAGTTGCTTTGAAGTTGTTGTTTTTTAAAAAAATGTATTAGTGATTAAAAATGCAGGAGAGGGGGGTTGGTAGATCTAAATTTAGATATCTAGATCTAGTCCTCCTGCGTCTTTACGGCAATTTTCGTGCCGTCTTCCATCATGTCCAAGTAGGCCTACTAGATATAGAATCTCTCTAGATCTAATCTAGATCTAGATCATCCGAAATGTTACCGAAAACACGTCGTTCCATGTGGGTATCCCAGGAAGTGATGACATCACATTACTAAAATTAGCAGCCAATCAGAAAGATGTGTCTTTTCTACGTTTAACGGCATGTGGACATAGTCGCCCCCCTGAACCCCCCTCCTCCATATTTTTGTTAGTCAGGGGGAAACCCCCCTACTCAACTCTTGACTTTAACGAAGGAAACTGCAAAATCGCCCAATTGTTTACTTTCTCGCGTTTAATTCCGGCCGCGCCTAGATCTAGATAAGACTCTATGTTTCCCCGACTTGATATTCAAAACTTTGCGTTGGGATTACGAATACGTAAACTGCGCCATTTTCATCATTTGTAGGTAGATCTAAATCTAAGTCTTGTAACATACTGGCTTTAGTCTAAAGTTTAGCCCTTCTTCTGTACTGATTTTGATGGCCATTGCTTGCATTGATATTCATGGAGTTCAGAGTGGTCCCTCGTTTCACGGAAGTCCTCCCCGGGAATTAAACACGGGAAAGTAAACAATTACCCTGCAGTGAGCACGTAGCACAACATGCGATTAAAGGAAGGCCGCGATGAAACGTAGAACGACGCAAACTATTTTTAGGTAAGGCACCCATCTTGTTTGACGTCAGACCAGGATACCCCTACGATCACGTGACGACATCTAAGTTACTGTACTAAGTATAGCCAACGCATGGCACCAAAGATGGAAGTGTCTATGTTATATCAAGCTTAATCTACCTCTCACTGTCGGAAGTTCTGATGGCGGAATAGACAGCATGTCTGCGTTTGAAGTCATGCAATGATTTTTTGAGGGGTTCCATCCCGGTCCCGGACAGGTTTTTTTTTTCCTCTTGAACTCCTCCTCCCGAATGACCAACAGTGTGTCCTATAAATTATAATTTGTTGCTTTATAGTTTGTTTTTTTAAATATATTATTAGTGATGAAGAATGCAGGAGGGGGGGGGGGGTAGATCTAGATTTAATCCTTCGTGTTTTCGTGCGGTTTATTGTTTTTTGCGTTTACCACGTTTCAATTTCAAGCATCAGCTCTCTTAATCTTACTGAGCATCAACGATCTAGATCTAAGCGATCTTCCATCATTTCCAAGTACTAGATCTAGGAAATCCGAAATGTTACCGAAAACACGTCATTCCATGCGGTACCTCCACGGCCTTCTTATAATAGTCTGTGGGTATCCCAGGAACTGATGACATCACATTACTAAAATTAGTAGCCAATCAGAAAGATGCGTCTTCTACGTTTAACAGCATGTCCAAGGTCCCCACCAGGTCAGGAAATCAGGGAAAAGTTGGGAATTTTGAGATGGGTCGGTAAGTTGGGAAAGGATAGGGCCTGTGTAATATTAGTAGTGTAGCTGTCTAGACAGAATGGTTGATGAATCATGAAGAGGAAACGTAATTGAACCGCTATGGTGGAAGTGTATGTGTGACACCGATACTTGATCGGGAAGAATCAATATCTACTTTTGCTTTCGTTTCCACCCAGAAATTTTCTGGTAATAGTCTTTATAAATAGATAACGCAACATTTGTAACAAGCAGGTTGTGCATTACAAAAGCTGTGTTGCCATGAAAATAAATCAATATTTGTCCTGTGCTGTCATGTGTGGGGGAAAAAAAAGAAAAGAAAGGCATACAAGCGTGTTGTCAGGTTCGCCATCGTGACCAGTCAGTGAACCTGCGCGTTCGCATCACATGATAAGGCATTGTGTGAGTCCCTGCAGTCTGAGCGCTGTGAAGTATAGGACTCTGGAGAGGGGGGGGGGGTGTTGACTTTTTTTAAAAGATACACTCGGGGAAGGGGTCTGGTGGGGGGCTGAAGGCAACGCCAGAGGACGAAAACTGAACTGGGAAGCAAATTTTTTAGTATATTTAGAATTTTGATAACACTGAGCTCTCTGCAAAGCGCGCGTTAGTGCAGGCCTTGTGTGGAATCGGGATCCTTTATGCCTTGTTATTGAACTAAAGTGTTCATGTTCCATTGGATGGGGTGATAGTAATTTACATCTATATTTTTGCTTTCTGTTCAAGGTTGGCAGATTTTCAGTGTCACTGCATCTTGCCCTCCCTCAGTTCTTGCACCTCTCACACTGAGCCTTTCAAGTTATTACTAATATTACTCTACTTTGAGTTTGAACGATAGTTTCGTCTTCATGTTTATGATATGAATCATGACACCGAGACTGGTTATTGTCTGTTGATATTCTGATTCTAGGTCTTTTCTCAGGCTCAAAACGGGATTCATTTTTTGTATAGTTTATGTAGACTAATATGATGAGGGGAAAATATAAATAAGTAAGAACAGACTGAAATACCAAAGTCACACAAGATCCCAGTGCTACACTGACATGTTGTTGACTGGATATAATGTAACTACACGTTCTACTTCTTTTGTATGTTTGTCACTCTCTTGTGACCTGCTATTTTGGGGTGCCTTGATAGTCGAAGCAGACCTTGTGCTGTTGAAGCTAGAGAGGTGAGCAGTCTAAGTCTGATTCCCTGTAAAGACTTCTCTGTTGACACCCCGAACAGAACATATACAGCTCAACTTCCACCTGAACAGAATAAACCCGGAACTTCCCCCCAATGTGTCCCTTGTGTGACTATGCATATGAGACTGTGGATCATCACCTGTTCCACTGTACAGCCCTAAATGACATCAGAGCTACCCTCCTCCCTCCGAGACCTAACATTGACAACACACTCTATGGAACATTACAGCAACTGCAGCAGACCTGCACTTATCACTACATGGCATTGGACAGAAGGGCGAGAGCCCAGCTGTTGCTGGATCGATAACAACAACAACAACTGTTGACACCCACTCCTTGGCACTCATATGACCTTATGCAGTTGCGAGTGCCGTAAAACCTTCTACTAGATCTATATATATAAAAATGATTTCCCCTGGCTAAATGTGACCATGTCATAAACTGTTCTTTTTCTTGGAGTGTGTCTTGGATGGTTTTTATGACACTGTGTACTCTCTGCATGAACCATACAGTATAATACTGTTAGTTTTTGTACTGTGTGCTCCTACGTTTTTCATCGTTTTTCTGGTTTTCCTCAGACGCAATGACTCTTGCTCCAAGCAAAATCTTCTCTGGCTTTCGAGCCCTTGGGTTTGTGAGTAATCATGTTCCTCTCGTGACACGCTACCACAAGAGGCATAAAGACAACTATGTAATTACCTGTGTCGGACAAGCGTTTCACGTTTATAATGTGAGTTGCTGTTAGATTTTTTAATTAACCTCATTAGTTAATAACCTTTTTTTAAAAAGAAGAATACGTTTTATTGAATGGCAACATACAGTTTTAATGTGTCTTTACTTTAGTATAGATTTGTGCAAATCAATGAGAAAATTGATTCTGTTGGAGTCAACAGTGACTGAACAAAAAGAACCTCCAGGTTTGAAAGACAAGCATGTTAATAAATAAGTGCTCAATTTATTTTCATCTATCATGGGTGTGGTGCTTATAATATCACTTCTTTCTTCTTCTTCTCGATCGCATCACACTTGAAGTCCGGTATCTGTCATAAATTGGGCCGTCCTGCTCAGTTCATCTGGCGATAATATCACTGAATTGAGCTTCATCATTCCATTGTTGTATTTCCACTATATTTGAAATCAATTTTCTTCCACAGGTTAATAAGCTGGGAATTGTTTCTGTCAGTAAGTATTTTATTTTCTTATCGGTAACAAGGAATATAACTCACTTATAACTCACTACTTACAGAATTATTGATGGCTTTGTGGCCTCTTAATCATAATTTGATATTCCTTACATGAAAGTAAGAATAATGCTTCTTCTCTTAATTTTTCTCCATGTAGTCAATTGAGCTCCCCCCCCCCCCCCCCTCTTTTTCCCCATTTTCCACACAAGCCCAATCAGCGAAGGGATCTTATAGTCTAGTCTAATAGTCTGTTGGAAGAAGTCTCTCCTAGAGAACCCTGGTTTTCCACTGTCCACTTCTAACATTATAATGTCTTGCAGTCTTGTACACATTTCATATGGTATTTTGAGTGAAACTTTTTGAGGGGGTTCTCATGGTCTAATGGTTAAGGTGTTCGCCTCTCATTAAGTAGGTCCCAGGTTCAATTCCCGGTAGCGATGGAAAATTTTTTTCTCTAAAATTTTCTCCTTTCATATCCTTTCCTGCTCTTTTACTGCTCTCTAACAAAGTTTGTCATCTTCTTTCGTCTCCACTTTCTTCCCTCAACCCCTTTGCCCCCTCATCTGGGCTCCTGACTCTTTCTGCAGCCTTTCTACTGCTTCTCCTTGGCTCCTTCTTACTGCTGTCTTTCAACCACACCCCTGATTTTTTGGTAGTTAAGATCTACACCTAGCCTTCTCGGGACAAGGACGAAAAATCTCAGAGGTCCCATGTGCAAATTGTGCGCATTAAAAATCCCTTGGTGGTCAAAATTGATAACAGTAGGCTTTCCTTCCAGCTGAAAATGTTTGGTGTGTCCAGCGCGCTTATATGACCGTATGCAGTTGCGAGCGCCGTAAAACACTTTAAAAGAAAAGAAAGGACTTTTTGACAATTTATTTGCTATTTGGATGAGACTATTTTCTTAGAAGATAGTCCATGGATTCAAATGTTTCTCACTCATGGGACTGTGGGTTTTGATCTACAAAGAAGCACATTGTCAAACGAGGACTGCTTTTTAGTTCTATGCCCATTCAACCGTAGTATTTGATAACCATGATTACTCTTCCAATCACAGTTATTCTTTACTCTTTGAATATTTTGTGACTCTGGAAAAGTCTTCAGCTAATTTGATCTTGCAATAAGCATTTTCATTTCATTATGGTAAATGAATGACTAGTACTCGAATGGTAAAAGACAATGAACTCAAATTTGATAAATGTGTTTTGTCTTTCTTCTTTGCTCGTCCACTCACCCCCTGTCTCTTGTTGAATAGTCTCATACTGCTTATACTTATGTTTGTCTACTGCTGTAACTTTTGAAGGATGATGATCCGATGAACAAAGAACTCCTCTTTTGCATAGAGAACAGCTGTGCCCCATTCATATTTTTGTTGAATTTTCGAATTGACGTTGAAGAAAAACCAAACTATTGTTCAAAAGATATTTTATCTCATCTTTCCTTTTGTTTTTGCAGGTGACACACATCCTGAGGACATTAATGTGATGGCAGCAGACTTTCGATATGTCTTTACAGCAGCAGGGAATGAAATTTACAGAGTAGCCAGAAACAAAAAGGTAACTGATCAAGGTGTACTTCATGAAGGACTCTGGTCTGAAAATCATTCATATTTTATTCATGAACCTAAGAGTACACTTATATTCTATCAGAAATGAATGTTTTGTACTGTCAATCGGGGTTGGTGATTTTAAAAAATTTTAAAAATCGATTTTTAAAATTTAAATCAGATTTTTAAAAATTTAAATAGGATTTAAAAAAAAAAAAATTTTTATGTCCACAGTTTGGGATTTTTGGTTGCTAAAAGTATGTTCTTTTAGTGCAAAATGCATTGTCTTTATTTTAACTAATGATTAATTTAGGCAACTGCAATTTTAGAAAGCCTTAATCTGCTATATCAGTGAATTATGGCTACAGACAAAAAATGAAGAAAATGTCGATCTAAAAGGAAGGGGGGGGTGATTATGCATAGATAAACTTGCATTTTATTACAGTATGTGTGTGTGCACGCGCTTGTGTTTGTCCAAAAAGAAAAAGAAAATGCTAATTTCAATTATGAAAAAAAGTAAATTGAATACTGTATTATTTTACTACTTACAGTGACAGGGGGGAAAGCAGACTTTTAAGCAATTTTAGTCTACTAAACCTTATATCTGTTTTATGAAACCAAGAAAAGAAATTCTGAATGTTTAAAGATGTAAAAACAGAATACCCTTTTTTAAAGTGATTTAAATCACTGAGTTTTATTTTTAAAATCAAGTTGATTTAAGTTTTAAAAATTAACTGATTTAAATCGACCTGATTTAAATCAACCCAACCCTGGTTTTCAATTATGAAAGAAAAGTAAATTGAGAACTGTATTATGTTACAGTGACAGGGGGGAAAGCAGACTTTTAAGCATGATTATATTAGTCTACTAAACCTTATATCTGTTTAATAAAACCAAGGAAAGGAATTCTGAATGTTTAAATATATGTAAAAACTGAATACATTTTTTAAAAAGTGATTTAAAAATCACTGATTTTTATTTTTAAAATCAAGTTGATTAAAATATATAAAAAAATCAACTGATTTAAATCAACCCAGCTCTGATTTCAATTATGGAAAAAAAGTAAATTGAATACTGTATTATTTTACAGTGAAAGGGGGGAAAGCAGACTTTTAAGCATGATTATATTAGTCTACTAAACCTTATATCTGTTTAATAAAACCAAGGAAAGGAATTCTGAATGTTTAAATATATGTAAAAACTGAATACATTTTTTAAAAAGTGATTTAAAAATCACTGATTTTTATTTTTAAAATCAAGTTGATTAAAATATATAAAAAAATCAACTGATTTAAATCAACCCAGCTCTGATTTCAATTATGGAAAAAAGTAAATTGAATACTGTATTATTTTACAGTGAAAGGGGGGAAAGCAGACTTTTAAGCATGATTATATTAGTCTACTAAACTTTATATCTGTTTTATGAAACCAAGGAAAGGAATTCTGAATGTTGAAATGTGTAAAAACTGAGTAAAAATAAAAAAAAATTTTAAGTGATTTAAATCACTGATTTTTATTTTAAAAATCAAGTTGATTTAAATATAAAAATAAAAAAAAATCAACTGATTTAAATCAACCCAACCCTGCTGTCAATTACATAGACTTTATGACAATGCTATTCACACCTAAGGTCAACTTCTGATATGCCCTGACAGGTCAAATTTATTTATTTCCTACTTTCTGTGTCCATACGAAAAAGTGTGCGTGGTTTCCATAGTTTTAATTGTGTCACCCTGCAGTAATGGGTACCTAGCTTTGAGTTTGGGGAGTAAAGGCTGCATGGAAAGGAACTGGCCACCCTACCACAATACACTGAGGCCCAGGAAGAATTGTCTCAGTAACAAGTCAATTCCTAAATGTCCGGATCGGATACTGGAACATCTTTACTTACAGCTTGCTGGGTGGTTGAATTTGAACTCGTAGGAGAAAGATAATATAGGGGAAAATTTTCCTTGCATCACTATCACCAATGTTCATACAAGACAAGCTGAAGAAAAGAAACATTTCCTCTCCCCCTGGGGAACTTATTTCATTAAAAGTTATCTTCAAGCGTGTTATTAAAAATCCCTACATTAGGAGTGATTTCCTTACTTTGGGCAAATTTCAATATTTGGGCTTTTTTTCATTTCCCAGTATCAGATGTTATTTTCTTGCAAAAAAAAAAAAAAAGAGTTTGCTACATGTGTGGTGTGATGGTGTGGTTATTCTTGTTTACTAAACATTGCAACCTAAATATTATATCAGATTGTTTTTATTTTTTTCTCATAACCTGTTTTGTATTGTCGTTTATTGTTTTCATAGATTGACAAAACCTACAGTGGACATAAAGCAGAAGTGACACTGTTACTGCCATTTGGTCCACACCTTATATCAGTGGATGCTGATGGCTATATGATTGTCTGGGACACCAAAACTGAAGGTAAGAAGCTGGAATGGTAGCAACTGGCTTTTTTGTCTATCCTGTTCAAAAACCTAGAAATGTTTACTATTCTGCATCCAGATGAGTGGGTGGTTGGCGGGTGCTCTGGTGTGGTTTGCTCCTTCTTTCCTATCAAACATCTATCATCTTTATCTCCCCTCCTTTTTTGTGTTTGTTACTCTCTTGTAACACGTCTAGTCTTCGGCACTTATATGACCTTATTGTGTTGCAAGTGCTGTAAAACACTTACTAAAACAAACTAGCATCCAGATGATGCTGAAGCTAATGACAAGTGTTGTTTTTGTTGTTTGTAATTTGTTTGTTTGAAAATTAATTGCACAAAATTTTCTTTAAAAAAATTAATTGGTTATACATTTGCTGTCTGTCGTCAGAGAGGGTTTTGATAGTGTTGACACACTGTTTATGTTTAAAAAGTAACGCCCATGCCTATTGATGACACTAATTGTTAATGATGCCTTTTTTTGTTTTGACGTACTTTCTTAACAGAATACTGATATTGTGCATTTCATATATTCTTCAATTGCATTTATCCGAATCCGAAAATGTTTCAGAACAATACATGCAGATTAGATTCGACCCTGCGGCCTTCTCAGTGACAGCCATAGCTCATCCCCACACGTATGTCAACAAGATGATACTGGGCAGTCAACAGGGCACCTTGCAGCTCTGGAACATCCGCTCCAACCGACTCATCTACTCTTTTGCTGGCTGGAACTCTCCGGTCACAGCAATAGTGCAGGTTGGTAGACTTGCTGGTTTGTTTGTACCTCATAGTGAGTTGAAAGGCTGGGTCTGGGTTGTCTTTAGTATCATGAAATTCATTTTTTGCCTGTTGACACGGTTTGTATTATGCACCTTGAGTTTGGAATAAAAAATCACATTTATCTCTGAGCCTCAACCTTTTTAGAAATTTTTGAACTGTCACGTTCATTAAAAATGTTAAAATTTGAACGGATACCCTCTGGTTTGCTGTCTGTGACTAATTTGACTTGAATGGAGCTTTTCATGTGTCCTCTTCTGTCATTTTGTTACAAACTTGTGTATTTCTCATCAGTCAACAGCTGTGGATGTGATGGCGATAGGTCTTGCAGATGGACAGGTCATCCTGCACAACCTTGCTGTGGACAAAACGGTTGTAAAGTTCAAGCAAGATTATGGACCTGTCACAAACATCAGTTTCAGGACAGGTAATGCTTTGTTTGCTTTTTGAAAGCTAAGAAAGGAACTTGGTTCTTCAGTTTGATTTAAGTTGAATCGTCTATTAGGCGTAAAATTGATTATTTGGAACTTTGAGCTCTTCGCTGTGATATCCGAACTTTGGCTGAGAGGATGTGTATCTGAAATGGCTCTCTGTAGAGTTTGAAACTACCTTTTACACATAAGGTAAATTTTTCCAACAGTATATCGTACTGTTCACCTTTATAAAACATGAGTGCCTATGAGAATGCATTGCATGAGGACCTGGATAAAACTGGATTGGGGGGGGGGGTTAAAAAGGTCAAAGGTCTGATTAACATTGTTTTTGCCCATGCAACTAACATATCCACTCACTCTGTCTACTCGCGCATGGTAGCATAAACTGAGATTGGTACTGATGTTCAACCGGTGTCTGATGAGTGTTATTCTCAGCATGCTTTCTAGGCATGAGGTCAGGTGATGTGCCAACATTATTGTTGCTTTGTTTTCACTCTTGGATAGGGCTTTGTATTATTGTTTCAGTTTTGTGTATAGTGGTTGATTAAATCTTGTTCGAAATTTGTTTGAAAAAACACAAAAAATAAATCCTTGAATGTGTATCGGATTTGTTACTTTGTTTAGAATTGTAAAGAACGAGTGACATTCATGTTTGTGTGAGATAAATTAAACTGTGTTGTTAATGTTTATAACTGTGCTTTCAGATGGGCACCCAATGATGGTGACAGGAAGTGCTTCAGGGCATATTGCACTTTGGGATTTAGAAAACCGCAAACTACACAGCTACTTGGAAGAGGCCCACTTTGCTTCTGTAACAGGCTTGGTTTGCCTACCTTCTGAACCTCTCATGGTTACATCAGCTGCTGACAACTCTCTCAAGGCATGTTCACAATGCAATAATGTTCTTTAATCTGAATTGTTCAATGTTTTTCTAGATTGTAAAACATTTTCATTGTAAATACAGCATATTTTTTGTTTTGGATATTTAATGTCTGAGAAAACTTAATGTATAATTTTTCGTTTTTGAAACAAGGCATAATGAGGTATTTGGTAATAACTGATATACATAAATAGGAACCAGTTCTTTGTGTTTATCTATCTTGTTAGAGCTCTCAGGCTTGTTTTATTGGAAATTGATGTAAACTTTAAGGCTTTCATTATTGCGAGCTGTGCTTCATGGCTCGTGTACTCCCAACGCTGGACCGCGAGCTGTGTTTCACGGCTGGCCACTTCCTGCTTTAAAACCACGCCTACTTTTGTAACATCTGAAGATGATATCTCAGGCTGAAGAATGATTGTTTTCAGCAGCATATTGAGATAGGTCACATTATTTTCCCTTAATTTTCATATGAAATATTGAAAATTGAACGAACTCAAAATCTTTAATTTTTCAGACGGTAGGCAGAATCAGAAAGTAGGTCACAGATAGGGCCTGGTCCAGGTTAGGAAAATCCCTGGTGGGAAAGAGTTAATATCAGGCTCAAAACGCAAACTCATTCACATAATGTCTAAAGCATGCTATGTATAGAAATATTAAGTTAGAATAAATACTTTGTATAAAAGAAATGGGTTGAATTAACATTTCTAAATCTGAATGTGATTAACACTGACACAGGTCTGGATATTTGATCTTGCTGATGGTGGTGCGCGGCTGCTGAGGTCACGGGAAGGTCACAGTGCTCCTCCCACATTCATACGCTTCTACAGCAATGATGGACAAAACCTCCTGAGTGCAGGTGAGAATGGCAGCCATTTACTAGAACTGTTTGAACTCTGCTCTCTCACTCACATCAGTGCCCAGCATAGTAGGGAAGACTTTGTTGAGGGTATTACTAAACGGAATGCTTTTTAAATCAGTTTTTGTTGCTCTGGAGTACATGTACTATGTGCTCATGGTCAGTTTAGCTTTTTGTTTTTAATTTATGTGTTTATTCCCTATTTTGTCTTTCATCTCTTCCCTCACTTTCCTCACCAGTATCTTATCATACTTTGACTTTCTGAGACTAGTCATGGTTCTTTTTTAATGCACCTTATTTCATATTGTAACATTTTGGGTGGCATTTTATGTTGTGTTTTAAAATCTCTTGCCAGTTCCTTTCTTTTGTACGCCTTTGGATTTGAAGTTCAAATTTTATTTTTCCTCTCGATCCAGGTCAGGACAGCACCATACGGTCGTTTTCTACAGTCCATGACAAGCACAACAAGAGTTTAGGCCGTGCCTCCTATCACAAAAAAGCTTCACGTCGCCTTGGCCTCAAAATGGACAAATACAAAATGCCAGCAGTGGTCAAATTTGCAGCAGGTGTGTGTGCAGATATATTTTTGTACTTATGATGCACCTTCGTCTGCACCCGCTTCACAACCAGTCTTTGTTTTTCATTTCTTATTCTCTTTTTCTGTCTAAATCGGGGTTTGTATACCTTTATACAGCCAGTGCCTACATTCTCCTCCTTAAAGAGGATAAAAATGTTCATATCACCCACCTACATGTATTTCCAAGCGGGGCGTTGAATAAGATCTGTCTCTACCTGGGTGATCCCTACTGCCCACCCAAATTACCAAATCAAACTCTAATAGGCAACATATAGCCCAGGTTGGCAAGCACTGGACTATATTTACTCTAAATATATACGTGAAGCAGTGTGGAATCAGGCGCTCGTCAAAGTAATCAAAGTGAAGAACCTGACATTTTTCCGCAGGTGTGTGAATTTTTATAAAATTTTCTTTTTTTGGCTCAACTCCTTTCATGCCCATTAAAAAACACATATCTGTGTGGAGTTTACTGAAAAACGTTGATTAAAGGCACAAAAAATGTATAAGCCTGGTGTGTTGATATTGGGTACTTGGCGGGTGTGTGGGCTTAATGATGAACTAATGCGTTGACCGTTAGCGTGGCTCTTTCCCCATTTATGTTCATGGGCTTCGCCAGGTCCCCAGGAAGCATGTCGATGCAGCAGAGTGGGCCGAAAATAAAGTGGATATAAGAGAAATTGTTTCGTGGAGATATTAAGGGAAAAATTTTGTAATTGGAAAATATGTCGACATGTCTAAATGTCAATACATCGGCTGGCGATATAAGTGGATTATACTGCATTTTTTATTTAAAAAATAAGCCGTAACCCCCATAAAATTTACTGTCTGAGATAAAGGAAATGAAAATTTTATGAATGAAATCTGGAATGGCAAAAATGATATCAGGAATAGATTCAGTTGATTCCGATATAATTTTTTAGTTGTCAGGACAAAATGGAATTGTGACGACTATTACCAGTTTATTGGCTTTCAATTATACAGACTTGACAATATTTACAAATTTTTCGTAACATTACAAAAATATGCTAGAAATTTGACCCCATTACGAAAATACAAATGTACTATGAAAATCGGATCAATTTTATAAATAATTAATTCTACAACTAGATAGCACCAAAATAATTCTCAGACGATCATGAGTATTCGTTAATTGCGGGTTTCCAATAGACCGATTACCGTTTAGTATCGTTTGTCTTGTGGTATTGGGCGCGACATTTCCACAGTACATCTTGATTCTATATTTTGAATACAACAGCAGCTGGGTTTTTTTCAAACTGCACCTTGTTATCACACTTTGAATTCAGGATTCCTTCCGTTTTCCCCTCGAGGAATGTCATTCTGTCTTTCGGCAAGGCTTAGATTTTATTGATTTCACGTTCTATTGATTACTCGATCTGGATTTTGTTGTGAAAATGGCTGAGCCTCCTTCTAAAAAAACAAGAACTGATGGGTCTAAAACTTTTTAGCAGGCATATACTGATGTGTGGCCCTGCTCTGTGAATTTTTTACTTTATTATTTTTTTAGTAGACCCCTACTTTGTAAAAGGAAAATTATACTATTACTAATTTTTGGCCTTTTCATTACCAATTTTTAAAGTCTCAATTTGGCAGTCTGATTATACACCTCATCCTATTGTTGGTGGTGGGGATTAGCTTACATACTGAATTATGTTTTTTGATTAACTTTCTTCTGTGTACATATTTCACAGCTTTTATAAAACAATTGTTGATTAATCATTAAAATGCCTTTGTTGCTGCAGAGCCAAATCGTGAGAGCGACTGGGACAACATCATCGCTTGCCACAGGTCACAGACGGTTGTGACAACTTGGAGTTACCAGAGATCCACCATGGGCCAACACAAACTGAAACATGCCAGGTTTAAGACAGATGTGTCAGAACATGCAATTACAGCCACAGTGAGTTCTGACAGTGGAGTTTTTCCAAATTTGCTGACTTTGTTCGCCTCTATAAGTAATTATTGTTTATGGAAAAGTGAGAAGTCTTCTGCGCTTGTGATGGTCACTAGTCCAGAATGCGGGGGGGGGGGAGAGAGAGAGAGAGAGAGGGGGGGGGGGGGGGGGGGGGGAACTAAAGGGTCACTGTTATTCATGTTTTTGTGTGCTCTTTGGAGAGACTATCTATAATTTATAAAGTTCTATACCTACAGCTGAAGTGGCCATACACATTCTGTATCTCTGTATCTAGCATAAATGTGAAAACTCTGCTGCTACTAGATAAAGGCAAGTCCAAGAGCACTGAATGGTGCACATTTGTTGCACCTATTGTATCTATATTATGTTCGGATATTTGTGACATAATATAAATTGCCTGGAAGACAGTTTGCTGGAAATTCTATTATTTTAGTTTCATCTTATGTTAACTTTAAGTGTCTTTATGTCTTGTAGAATATTCTTAAAACTGTCACTGATGTCACCGTTGCTTTCACATTCATTTTCTCCTTTTATTTCATTGATTGTATTTTCTTCACTCCAGGCTGTGGACATCAGCTCCTGTGGCAACTTTGCTGTGATTGGCTACAGCTCAGGTCATGTGGACATGTACAATCTGCAGTCTGGGTTGATAAGGGGCTCCTTTGGAGATCCAACAGGTGAGGGCCGTGAAGATAATCATAATCTATCACCTTTAGTTAGACACCAAATGTCTGTACCCAAAAGTAGGCTTTTAACGGTAATAAGAACCCTGACAGACCCTGTAATATTTCTTAACATTATCAGCTTTCTCGAAAGTGCCAGTGAGAGTCTCTATTTTATAAGTGCTCAAACACACTAATGTACTGACCGGGCCATTTATTTTGTGGCAATGAAGGCACTGATAAATTTTATTTTGTGAACAAAATGAGAATGATAAACTCAGATTGACCCTGACTTTGGTTTCAGGACAGAGAGGAGTTGTATTTGTAGAGAGGATTACAGATTACAAGTTTTTCCGTTGGTTGTGTATAAGACTGACATTTTTATTGTTTTGCCCCTCATTTTTGGGCCATTATACTTTTGTTGCTCCTATTAGAGTTAGTTAGGCTTTTTTGTTTGTTTCTTCTTTTCTTCTTTTTGCTGGAGGTTGCTGCCTATGTGGAATATTTTTAAAGTCCTAGCATAATGTATTTGTGATTGCTTTCATGTGGATGTGCCTAATTTTAGCTCACATGAAGGATGCCGAAAACAGAATTAATTTTGGATGTGTTAAAGAGATTCTAACATATTTTTTATTCATGTTACAGCTCATGATTGCACCGTCCGTGGTGTTGCGTGTGATGGCCTCAACCAGAAGCTCATCACTGGAGGTGCCGATGGGCTCCTTTGTTTCTGGCGCTTCAAGGCAAAGACGATGCTGGACAAACTTCAGCTGGAGGCTTACATCTCTCAGATGCAGCTTCATAGAGACAGGTGGGCAAAATTTGATATGGTTGGTATGGACAGATGTGGGTCTGCAGTATATTTCAGCTATTTTAAAAATCATTTGTGGTGTTGTTTTAAGGGAGGGTTTTTTAGAGAATTTTGTGAAGTTCTTCTGTAAGAAGTGTGTTTGTTTTCAATGCAAAAAAAATGTCTTTTCAATAATGTAATTGCTTGGCACAAAAATGAATTTGTTTACAGGGAATGTAAGTTATATTGTAAGAATGTTTGTTGCCCTGATAAAATCTCCCAGCGGTCTAAAGTTTGGTCTTCCCTCGTTTGGTTTGTTTTTTTTTCAGCTCCATGCTGGCAGTAGCTCTAGATGACTTCACAATCGTCATTATCGACATTGACACTCGGCGGCGTGTGAGAGAGTTTTCTGGACACACATCTGCTATTTCGGACATGGTATGTCAACCATTCTGTCAGTGCTTGGTTGCTTTCTTACTTTCCATTGTATTTGAACATAAAAGATCATTTACATTTTTTGTTCTATTATGTCGCTTTTCTTCCATTGGTCCACATTGCTAGAACTTTTTATTTTAGATTTGCTTGATTGTTTGAGATTTTTTTGTTTTTGTTTTGTGGCGTGGCATATATAGACGAGAAAGAGATTATAGTAATGCTGTCATTTCTACCTATTTAAGACCCCTGAAAGTGTCTATTGGTGTTATCATGTGTATTTAGAATAATTATTTAATCTTTTAACTATGTGCAAGATAGATTTTCACACAATTCATTTCTGTGTTCAGACTTTTAGGGCTGATGGAAGATGGTTGATTTCTGCCAGCATGGATTGTACAGTGCGGACATGGAATATACCCACTGGGAGGTATGTGTTGAATCTTTGGGTGACAGATTTGTGCCATACTTGGGAAACCATATGCAGCAGCCTTCCATGTTGCTTTATGTTTATATATATATTAATATAATAGTCACACCTTTGGCAATACAGGGAACGTAGCATTCTATGAGGCCTTTTATAATTTATAAGGAGATGGAAGTGGGTTTTGGGAGAAATAATTCTATATGTTCCCTTTGCTTTGGTTATGTGATCTTTATTTGATGACAAGAAAAATACAAACTTCATTTTAAAGTGCATCAAAGGTCTCTAAATATGACAGGGTATTAATAATAGATGTTTTATCAGTTGCCTTTCCCAGATGCTCTGAGCTTTTCGGTATCGATTGTGGAAAATATTTGTACTAATACATGGTAATTGAGTTGTTGTTTTTTTAAACTGGTAATGGTCTCCTGGAAAGTGTACAGATGTTGAGGGGTAAAAGTAATTTGCAGCATCATCATTGGAAGAAAAATGTTGACTAGACCAATAGATAGAACAACACCAGCGTCTACATTGTTTACAGGCCATCTATCACAACTGGTTTTCAAACACATTCACGTTCCTGTAGTAGTTTCCCTTTCATCAAAAGATACTTCAGAATGATCATCAATCCAGATACTATTATTGCTCAACATCTGCACAAAGTGACCATTATTGTGTCACTGTGCTCTTTACTTGGACAAAAAAGAAAATTACCACCCCCCCCCCAAACAAACTGATGGTTTGTATGATGAGTCTTTGCTTGGATGAATTGTACATACCAGCTTGCACTAAAAAAATTAATTCCATCTTTTTAGACAATAAACATCCCTTGTTCCCTCAAATAAAAACATCAGTCAGAAATAAAAGACCTAGGCTTCTGATCTGTAACAAAGAAAGATACAGAAGGTCATTTTTTCCATCATCTATCAACATGCTTCCATTTTAACCATCTTGTATAAGTATACTTACGACCTTAGAGCATGCATCAAAATAACATTGAGTGTGTATCTAGCTTACGATTATTATTGTTTATATTGCTGCTCATTTAAATTATGCATGTGATTGTAAGCCTATGTGCGTGTGTGTGTATGTACACGTGGTGAAACACCAAACCAATGTGCCAGGATCTAGACTATAAAGATGTATCTTATCTCTTATCTTATCTTATCCTCTCTCATAGGCTGGTTGATGCGTTTCTGGTAAGGTCAGCACCAACATCGGTGACCATGTCTCCATGCGACAACTTCCTGTCCTCCACTCATGTGGGGGATGTTGGGGTGTACCTCTGGTCAAACCGCACTCTCTACGCACACGTATCCCTTGGTCCTCTGCCCAATGACTACATACCGAGAATGGCTGAGCTCCCTGGTACAGCCCCAATGGATACAGGTAAGGGAGGAGATGAGTCTTTAGCATATATCCGTTTTAGTTAAACTTTTTGACAAATTGCCTAATAGAATGCTAATACAACTTGTCATTTTAGAATTGACTCCTTACAACACATGTCTAATTAACACACAAACACACACACACCCCTCCCACTTATACACATACACACTTTAAAACAGATATGCACATTTATTTGTTATTGGTTTAAAAATTGTGTTACAATCTGTGTGGTGTCTCTAGTTTTTTGTTATTGACATCTAGTTATTTCCAGCATTTAACTTGATCCAATTAGTACCTTAATTTTATGACCAAAAGATAATGGGTTGCAAAGCATATGTGCATTTTCTAAGGAAAACAGGGATGTGGCTATCAAATGATAACAATAGAAGGTCAGTCCTTTTTTTATATTGAGTGCTTAGATTTCATTGCAGTAGTCTTCAGATTTTCATAGTGCTTAGAAATGAGAACCGAAAGAGCTGGTGTTACACAATACAGTCAAACCGTGTTATGCCGCCAACCTTGGGGCGGGGTTCTGGCATGACTAGACCAAGGGCAATATTATGAGTTAGTTCCCTTTGTCCAAAACTTGGTGAAATGGCCTTCAGGCTACCTTCACATGACCAGGGCTAGTTTGCAGAGTCATGTGTAAGAGAAGGGGAGATTATCTCTGTGCAGCTGCAAAGTGGGTGTCATGCACCGCTTGTGGTGTGTAGATCTACCTCTGAGAGTCTGTTCACTGGCGGTGTTGCCAGGAAAAATTGCACTATAAAAGTCCACTGTACAATTCAGACGGTTGGTGGATGGCAGTGTGAAGGGGCAAGAAATATGTTTATACAGGCATTCCTTTTTGTGCATTGGCAAAACCTTATGGTACAATGGGGGCGATACAACAAGGTTTGACCTTACCAGTTTATAATATCCAACTTGAATTGGTAGACGTTGACACAATGCTTAGGTATATACCTGGTCTTCTGTTCTGACATGCAAAAATTATGTTTCCTGCAGACTTGTTTTTATACTCGTCTTTTATGGTGCATTTACAGTACAGAGAGAAGTTCCACTTAGTAAATGAGCTGCACCTCTTCAATGGAAAGCTGTTTATGTCTTTTCTGTCTTGAATACTGTGAACACACAGATTTTGTCACATTTTAAATTTTAGGAATGCTGTTTACTTGTAATGTCTAGCTTTACTTATTTTAGAATTGATTAATCTCTTCTTTGGCTTCCCTGAGAAAAACAATTTCAAAATAAAGACTGTTTTCCCTGCTCATAAATATGCATTATTTTTTTGTACCACGTTTGTGGGAAAATTGCCAAGAAAGAGGAAACCCTGTTTTTATGACAATAAGTGGAATAACAAGCCAAAAAGAATATCTTTCTTGTTTTCCTGTAGAGTCAGTTGGGGTCCTGGAAGAAGAAGGAGAGGACAGCCCTTACAAGTCAGCGGAGCAGATTGGGGACGAGCTGGTCACTCTGTCCCTGCTGCCCACGTCTCGTTGGCTGAATCTCCTGAATCTGGATGTTATACAGGTACAGGGACTTATGCTCATTTTTATTTCTGGACTTATTTAGGGATAGAAATTTTTGTTACTTATTCGGGTAAAGAGATTTATGCTAATTTCTATTTCTGGACTTATACAGGTAAAGGAATTTATGTTCATTTTTATTTATCGACTTCTTTAAGTCTAAAGATTTATGTTAGTTCTCTTTCTGGACTTATATAACCCTATCCGCAGGTCGTGTTTTACTATCGTATCCATACGACGTGGGGAACTCTGTGCCACCACTTTCCAAAGAGAAAATTTACTCGCTAATCCGATCCGCACGCTTTGCATATCAGTCTGTCAAAATGCTGATTTGAGAAATACTGAAAATTTCAAAGAGATCTTCGTACTACTAGAAGTATTCTTATATGTGAAGAATACAACCCCGGAGGTACAAAATGACCCCAGGGCGCACGGATAGGGTTAAGTATAGAAAGTATACTCCTTATCCGTTGTCTGTCTTACAACTGCATGATGTGTACTGAGGTCAGCAATAGTGTGTTATTGCTGGCTGCTTTGTAAGATGTGGGAAGAAGCAGTGTGCTTGGTTCATTGGACACTCACGCGTCATTGTATAAGTGCTAGACTAAGTCCCGTCCCCTCGTGTTTAATAGGTAGTGCCAAGCTAAGCGATAAGCCCAGCTGCTTTTTTACATTGATTGAATATACAGTCTGTGGATGGGTTTACAGAAAACTTTTTTTAGCAAGTGACTGCTCTGAGAAGGTTTGAGACTTAACTTTTTGTGAAAATGATTATGGCTAAATTGGACAGGGACCGTTGTGGACAAGTTGACAACAATATAGAAAAATGCAAGGACGTCATCGATCTGTGGCCATTAGTACAGGTGATCACTTTGGAGAAGGGATCTCTGAGGCAAGTTTGACTGTATGTTCAGACACATAAAGAGAAATGAGAGATCTTTTGTCTGCGTCCACACTGACTCTCTTTATGAAAAAATAAGAGCTAAATATTTGGTCTGTCTCACTTCTTATCCGTCCTGCTTCTGTGTTTTGCAGATGAGGAACAAGCCAAAGGAACCACCTAAGGTACCAAAGTCTGCTCCGTTCTTCCTCCCAACTGTGGCTGGTCTGGAGACAAAGTTTGATCTTTCTCAAGAGAACAAGGACGCAACAGTAAGTGGCCAATACTGTGATGTTTTGTTTTATTTGTTTGATATACTTTTTGAAATGCTAATTCAGCTTCCTCTGAAATGAGTACAAATTCAATCACGAGGAACAATATTACACTGCTGTATAGTGATGTAAGTTCCTGTGCACAAAAGATGACAAACTGGAAAAATGTATTAGATTTGAACAAAAAGTTAGATTGTTATAAGAGATAGAGTAACATTTAACATAGTTTAAATGTGACACAGTGTGGGTGTCATTTGATTTTTTTCCTTTCATATAGGAAAGAAGAAAGGCTTTCTCAATTTTTTCTCAGTTTGACAAAAATGATAATGTCCTAAGAGGCGCATCGGTTAAAAAATACAATTTTCATTTTCGTTCCAGCCTATTTTAGTTAAAAGAAATAAGATGAGAATCTTTTGTCTTCTGGGTTTCTATGCTCCATAGTGATTACCTTTTTTCTTTTTTGCTTTAGCCTGAGAGTCGTGTGAAGAAACCAGAGCTTTCGGCTTTGTCTGACCTGGCCGTCCTGCTGACCAAGGCACATCAGATCGGGAAATGTGAGTAGAAGGATGGTTTTGAATGGGTGTGAAAGATGTTTTAGTTTTAGTAGAGGTTTTACGGAGCTCACAACTGCATAAGGTCATATGAGCGCCAGAAGAGTAGAGGTGTTACAAGAGAGTAACAAACACAAAAAAGAATGAGGGGAGACAAGGAAGATAGACGTTTGATAGGAAAGAAGAAGCAAACCACACCAGAGCATGCTCCAACCACCCACCGTGAAGGGTGTGTGTGAGTGGCTACAGGAAAAATACTATCTTTTAACAAGCTTTTTATTTTACAAGCACGAGTATGTTATTGATGGCGACATGAATACTGGTGTCTGTGGTGTAGAGGTTAGGTGCTTTGCTTTTGAATGCTGGAGACCGGAGTTCGATTCCTGAGAAGAGAGAATTTTTAAAGCGTATCTCAGTCTTTTCTGCTGGGGTGTATCTCCCTCTCAGCCCATGTTGGCCTTGACAGGGAGGGTCGTAAGCCCATCAACCAAATGATCAGAATTGTTTCAATTTTAGCATAAAAACACCTCCATTAAAAAATCCCAACCTGTTATAAATAGAATAATGGACTGAATTAAGGCAAGCTTGCATTACGTCTTTATGCTGGTGTTTGTATGCAGAAGTAAAAAGGACATTTGTATGATTGTATGCAACTGGTGAGTCAGTAGTGTGAAATTATACACCAAGTTTGATGGGTAGGACAGCTGAACTGTTATTCTGTTCATTTTACCTTTTCAGTTTCTTCTATCACAATGATTTTAGTTTTGAATTTGTCGAGAATATTCTTTTTATATCTTCAGATGAGATTGTGCTCAGTAAACTGAAAGAAATGGGTCCCTCAGCCATTGACAAGGAGATGAGGACTTTACCAGAAGGAGAGGGAGGAAGTGATGATGTTATGTGTTACTTCCTGGAATTTGTCGAAGCAGCGCTCAAGACAAACAAAGACTTTGAACTGGTCCACTCATATCTTGCTCTATTTCTGAAGGTAAGTACAGTCAAACTTGCTCAAACAACCACCTGTCCAAGACAATCACCTGTACAAATGACCACCCTGGGGCGGTGCTACTTACTGAAGTGTCTTTAGGCCATTCCCAAAGGGGGGACATTTCTCGTTCTAATGCACAGTTGAATTGTAAATTGGCTGATTCACCAATCTCATTCTCATAACTGTGCCTAAGTTGCAACAGGGAACTGCTGATTTTTCTGTCTTAATCCTTACTATCATCATTTCCTCTACTTGTTTTGTATGTTTGTCACACTCTTGTGAACTGCTATTTCCGGGGTGCCTTGATAGTCGAAGCAGACTTTCTGCTTTTGAAGCTAGAGAGATGAGCAGAGTAAGCCTGATTCCCTGTAAGGACTTCTCTGTTGACATCCACCCCTTTGGCGTTCATATAACCTTATGCAGTTGCGAGCGCCGTAAAACCTCTACTAAAACTTATTATATTGACACTGTCCAAGAGGACTACCTCTCACTCTAAGGTGACCACTTTTCACCTCGACAGTGGATTGTTTTCTTGGACAGGTTCGACTGTAGTTGTATATTATCATTCTTTTTGTTTTTTCAGATATTTTTTTGCATCAAAGCTTTACCTAAGGATCATGTTACTGTAATATCTCAGAACCAAAGCTTGATCCGGGGGGGTTAAACTGCAGATTTGGTTTGCCTCAGTCAGATCTGTGGAGCTTTGTCTCAACTGGAAAGGTTGCTTTCTCAAGTTGTGTGCTTTTTAGTTTCAAGAAAAGCAAGGGACTGTGATCTCGACTTCAGAAGATAGTATGGTTTAATTTGAAGGGGTCGAATTTTCAGTTTAAGTGGTACCGTTTTAAACATCCAGACTAATGTTCAAATTACAAAATGGCGTTTACACTAATTTCATGTGATTGTAAGTATAATATATAAGTATATCATATGAGAGAGAAAAAAAAAGAAAGCATGTTTTGAATCAGAGTGTGTGTATAAGGCAACGGCAAGGCTAATGCAATATACAGGGTCCCCACAGGGTCGGGAAATCGGGAAAAAGTCGGGAATTTTGTGATGGGTCGGTAAGTCGGGAAAGTATAGGGCCTGTGTAATGTGCAGCTATCTAGACTGTATGGTTGATGAATCCTAAAGAGGAAACGTAATTGAACCGCTGTGACGGAAGTGTGTGTGACACCGAGGCTCGATCGGGAAGAATCAAGATCTGCTTTCGTTACCGCCTAGAAATTTTCCGGTAATAGTCTGATAGATAACGCAACATTTGTAACATGCAGGTTGTGCATTATGAACGCCGTGTCGCCTTGAAAATAAATCAATATTAAAAATTGCCCTCTGCTGTCGCTTGTGGAAAGGAAAAAAAAAGAAAAAGAAGTTTATACAAGTGTCTTGACAGGTTCGCCCTCCTGACCGGTCAATGAACCTGTGAGTACCGGCGGTCTGAGCGCTGTGAAGTATAGGACTCCTTTATAAGATACACTCGTGGAAGGGGATGGGGTGGGGGGGGGGGGAGCTGAAGGCAACGCTAGAGGACAAAAACTGAACTTGGAAGCAGATTTTTTAGCATTTTGATTACTACTTTAGAGCTCTCTGCAAAGCGCGCGTTGGTGCAGGCCTTGTGTGGAATCAGGATCCGTCATGCCTTGTTATTGAACTAAAGTGTTCGCGTTTCATTGGATGGGGGGATTGTAATTTATATCTATATTTTATTAGCTTTCTGTTCAAGACTGGCAGATTTTCAGTGTCACTGCATCTTGCGCCGCCCCCCCCCCCCCCCCAGTTCTTACACCTCTCACACTGAATAGGTGTACTTGAGCCATTCTAGTTATTACTCTACTTTGAGTTGCAGCAATGGTTTTCGTCTTCACGTTTATTATATGAATCGTGACACCCAGACTGGTTATTGACAGTCGATTTTCTAGTTCTAGGTCTTTTTTCAGGCTCAAAACAGGATTCATTTTTTTAATATAGGGCCTATAGTTTGTTATGTTGGCTAATATGATGATGGGAAAATATAAATAAGTAAGAACAGACTGAAATACCAAAGTCTCTCAAGATCCCAGTGCCACACTGACATGTTGTTAACTGGATATAATGTACCTACATGTGTGTGTGTGTGTGTATTCACAAACATATACATGTATTATATTCGATATAAATGGAGCGCACGCTTTCATTGTTGTGTAACGTGTTCCTGGAAAATGGATGAGGCCCCTCCCTTGGAAAAGTGAGAAGCTGGTTTGGCAGTCACCCAGTATTATAGTCATCTATTGTTTGAAGACTATACTACAAAATGTACATTTGCATTCATTTACAGACATTTTGACTTTTTATCTCTGATAGATGGGCTTTTTTGGGGGATCATTCTTGACGCGCAGCGGCCTGATTTTTCCGTCGAATTAGGGTCTTGAAAAAAATTTCCAGGATTTGGTGGGGACCCTGAATATATTTGATGTCATTGCGCGGACACATATTTTCATTGCTCTGACTTTGCTTTTGTTTGCAGGTGCACGGTGCTGAGATATCCAGTAAGCCGGAGATAGCAGGGGCGTTGTCCAAAGTGAGCAGTGCTCAGTTCGAGTCCTGGGAGAGGGTTTGGGGTTTGCTGCAGCGATCAATGGGACTGGTGACCTATCTCCGGTCAGCCACCTTGTAGCAGAAAGACATGTTTTATGCTGGTGTGGGGTAGTTGTTGGGTTGGGTTTTTTTAGGGGGGGGGGTTAGGGGGCTATTTATGAGAGAATTTGTTTCTACAAACATATGGAAACAAAGAGTATGTGATGTAGTAATCACCTACTGAGGTATTTGTCCACATAAATGTATGAGAGAGTCTATGTGAGTATAATATGGAAGGGCATTTGTTCCAGTATGTGGAAGTGAATGAAAATGTGTGAGAATATGAGTATTTTGTTTAACCACTGTACATTAATAGAATTTTAGTATGTATATAAATGCAATATATACGAAGAATGTGTTGTTGACAAAAGTTGCTGCTCACAGTGGTATTGTGGAGAGGAAGGCTCATGAGTTGGGTTTCGCTACAATCATCGTTTTAAAAAAACGGTTATTTGAAGGAATGCATATGCCAACGTAGGTAAATATAAGTCACTTAGCACTTCAGGAAGAAGAAAAGATGTCCAAGGGAGTTTGTTAGATGGCCCATGAAATCATGTGATTGTCAAGACTTGGGGATTTCAGAAAGTCATTCCACAGCCCTCTCATTTGTTGTCATCAACTCTTTCCACAGACATTCTAGCTAGGTGCAGGTAGTACATGTACATGTATGCAGATTGCTATGCATACAAACAAACCAAGAGTCTCGGGTGTCTTGTGTATGGTGTATGGCTGTGCAACATATAGTATTGATGTGTACTCGAGAAGTATGACTTTGAGCTATGTCCCATGTAATGTTGATTTTTTTTTTTGCCATTAAAGCAAATGTGAATGAACCAAGTGAACTTGTATTTTTCATTTTCTTCTTGCTCGTTTACTTATTTCATTGCTCAACACAAATCAGTGACAGATAGAGTACTGTTTTGTTTGCTTTGACTTTTTTGTGACTCTAGAGGGCTTCAGGTATGTTTATTATTGTTTATACCAGCTATTTTTGTTGGTGGTCTTTTACCAGACAAAGCGATCATCATTCTTTGTGCGTGCTTATCTTTTACAGAAACAAGCATTTTGCGTGGATGGTTAGTGGGTGCTGTAGTGTGTTTTGCTCCTTCTTTTCTCTTTAAAAAATCTGTTGTCCTAATCTCTCCTTGTATGTGTTTTGTACTCATTGTAACAACTCTAATCTTGGTACATATGTGACTTAATTGTGTTGCAAGTGCCAAGACACTCTTACTAAAACAAACGTTTTGCCATTTGTAACCACTGTGTGGAATTGGTAATTGTAATTATATTGGTCTACTAATGCCCCTTTCAACACTGTAAGTAGTAAGTTTATTTAGGAGGCAGCTATGTATGGCTCTTTTCGTCTATGCAGACGGTCAATTTAGCTTAAGATGATCTCAAGGTCGTCTTCATGCAGCTTCTTTCATGGCTAATTCTTCCTATGTTTGAAGAGCAGATTCTGTCGCAGTGCTTGCATGTCAGTGACGTAGATCGAAGCTATGTATTTCCGCTGTTTTCCTTTCGTCGTTGGCGTTTCTCAGCCTGGTTGTTTCTAAGGCTGCTCTCTAGCATTATAGTTCTTTCCTTTGCCATTTTCCTTTATCATTTCCTCTATGTTTTCCTATCCAAAGCTTAGTCTTCCCAGATGTTAACGTCTGCTCGAAGCTTAGATAAGCTGTTTTTTAAGGTGTCTTTGTACCTCAATTTTGGTCTTCCTCTTAGTCTCTTTCCTTGGGCAAGTTCTCCATAGAGAAGTTGCTTCGGAATCCGGTTGTCGTCCATTCTCTTGACATGGCCCAGCCATCTCAATCTTTTTAAACACAGGATAGTTGTTATGCTCTGGAGGTTTGCCAGTGCCAACACTTCTACATTTGTAACCTTGTCACGCCACGAAATGCCTGAGAAAAGATCTTGAGGCAGCTAAGGACCTCTGAATTTAACGTCCATCCCCAATAGGATAGTCATTTTTAAAGTCAGTTATTTCCATCTGTCGACTGGTTTGCTGTATTCCACTCTGTCCTGGTTGGACAGGACAGGCAGGGTCGATGCAACCCACCTTCTAATTTATCTAAATTGGGTCGATGGACCAATGGATGTGTAAAACACAATACATCCATACGCTGGAACTCGAATTCAACGAAGTCGTCGGGCCTGACCTTAAATTATATTGACATTGAATCTCCGAGTGTTTGTTACAGTAAACATGAGATTTTTGTAGAGAGGAGAGAAAAAAACGGGGAATCCTACTCCTTTCGTTGAATCCGAGTTCCACTGTAACGATTTCTCAAGGAACCACCCGAACAACCCCAAAGCGTTTAGTCTCCCAGACACTCCGCAACCCATACGTTTTATCCATGTATGTACAGAAATATGAAAAGAAACTTAGAAAGGCAAGATGTTTGGGTGATTGGCTGGTGCTTTGGTGTGGTTTACCCTTTCTTTCCTTGCAAACGTCTATCGTTCTGATGTCTTCTTCTTTTTTGTTTGTTCCTCTGTTGTAACACCTAATCTGTTCATTGTGTTGCAAGTGCCGTAAAACTCTTACCGTGGGTGGTTGGCGGGTGCTCTGGTGTTGTTTGCTTCTTCTTTCCTATCAAACATCTGTCGTCCTTATCTCCCCTCCTTTTTGGTGTTTGTTACTCTCTTGTAACACCTCTAATCTTCGGCACTTATATGACCTTATTGTGTTGCAAGTGCAGTAAAACTCGTACGAAACTAAAACTAAAACTCTTACCAAACCTTAAAAAAAGGCAAGAATTCACTTTTTTCAGTGAATGGTTGGCGGGTGCCCTGGTGTGGTTTGCTTCTTCTGTCCTATCAAACGTCTATCGTCCTTATCTCCCCATCTTCTTTTTTATGTTTGTTACTCTCTTGTAACACCTCTAATCTTCTGGCGCTCATATGACCTTATGCAGTTGCGAGCGCCGTAAAACCTCTACTAAAAAGAACAAAAAAGGCTCTTTTTCAGGACGACAATGGATCACTTTGGGTTGTATATCAGAAGACGTGGGTTGTATGAAGGATTTTCACGGCTCCCAACCTACTTGTCTGTCCTATCGCGGTGGGTGGAGAAAGATTGGAGTCCTTGTCTCTCAGTCTTAAATAACAGGACAGTCAGTTAAGTATTGATAGGAGCATTGATTGTTGAATTCAGACCCCTCGACATGACTGTAACGCAGCGGATATAGCGCTAATAACACTTACTTTTAGTGCCCTAATAACACTCGTTTTTAGTTGCCATAGGCATGGCATCACCTCCTTCCCCCTTGCCTTCCATTCTCTCACACACACGCGCGCACGCACACACACACACACACACACACACACACACACACACTACACACACATAACAGAAAGAATGTTACCCAGGTTTGATACAATTATTTATTTATAATATAATATTCTTTTATTTTCCTCACAAGAGTGTATCGTTATGAGAAGGCCCTTCGCTTTACACGTAAAAGACGCGAGTTTATCTCAAAGTTTGCACGATTCTTACATTATTCCAGTACCCACAAAGAATGTGAGAACATTTATTAAAATGGCTTGGAATCGAGAATATTTTCTAGCCTTTCTACAGAAGCAATATGTTTATAGTGCTCACTTCCGTACAATACAGCTCTATAAGCCTACTGTGTGCACTTTACAAAATACTTGTTTTCAGTTTCTTGAAAACCAATATACGTAGGATGGACATCATTCGATAAACTTTGTAAACAAAATTGTAGGGACTTGTTTGCTGGTGGTGTAGTGTAATAATATAATTGCACGCGTTTGGTGGGGGCTCAGTTGGTCTGCTCGCTGAAATGTTAAATGTTACTACAGAATAGTCTTATCTGTTCCTGGCGAAATATTATGTACATCAGAGTGCTGGCTCGCCTTAACTACTACCACTCACAATTCGTCGTGGTGATAACCTGTTTGCCAAAGTCCGATTTGGGCCAAATGGGGAATGAACTATGAACCCAAACGCATTTCCCTAAACCACCCCTGTATGTCTTCATATCATCTTTATGAAAGGGGGGCAATAAATAAACACAAATAACTTATTAGGTTGTTTTGGTTTGTTGGTTTTTCTTTGGGGGAGGGGGGGGGGGTTGGTTTTGTTTTGAAGTTGGGGGGGGGGGGGGGGGGGGGGCGTCATTGGGCCACAAAATAAGATTTGTTTTTCGTGATATCTCACAAGTAGGGTATAAAAACAACATAGCGGAACTAATCCAAAATGTCAGCCCCCTGAAGACATGACAATGGACAGTACATGTACTTCTGATTTGACGGGTCAGTGTGTCTAGGGTGTGAAAAAAAAATGTTTTGTATTGTCAGTAGATCTACCTTTTTTTCTCTAACCATTGTTGACCATAACTTAAAGCGTGTGAGGAGGTCGATTGGACGAAAGTCAGTTTCTCAAAATTCGCTTCATAACAGGGCAGGTACTTCTCTTATCTCCTTTTCAACCATTGACCACTCGTACATAGCATCGGGCTTAAAAGTCGTCAGGCGGAGTCAGCTGTCAAAACTAATCAATTTTTGATTAAGGCTACGACCACATATTCAAATGTTTACTTCAGCAAACCTCTCTGGAGAAAAGTTGATTTGTTTTTTTTCCGCAAAAGTGGGTGGTTGGTGGGTGCTCTGGTGTGGTGTGGTTTGCTCCTTCTTTCCTATCAAACATCTATGATCTATTGTCCTTATCTCCCCTCCTTCTATTTTGTGTTTGTTACTCTCTTGTAACACCTCTAATTTCGGCACTTATACGACCTTATTGTGTTCAAGTGCCGTAAAACTTACTAAAACTAAAAGTAAAACTAAGAACGAGGTCACGGCTACCTCAATGTTGGCACAATAGAGAGTGGAGAACATAGAGCGGGTGGTTGGAGCGCGCCACTGATAGATCCTACTTTTTTACTTTTCCACTGTTGCTTTTGTCTGTGTGTATTATTACTTTTCTCCCAGCACTAAATGACCATTATTGCCCTTCTCTTTACTCTAACAAATAGCCAAACGAAGGAGACCATGGATGAAAGTAGTGGATCAAGTAAGTTCCGAATGAAGGGCCGAAGTAGGCCGTTACCTGCTATTCTCTAAAAAGTGTCTGTTAGTATGATGAGGTACTTCGCTTCCATACAAAAAAAAAAAAAAAACACACACAAAAAAACCCTAATTCCTAATACGCGAGCGTCATCAAAGATTGCACAACGTTTTGGTTCGATTCCAAGTGGGGGAAACATTTTACAAGTACAGTCGAACCTGTTCTAACGGCCACTGGTATAAGACATCCATCTATCCAAACAGCCACTTCCCATTTCCCCCCTTTGTGTAGGCTATTTTTTCTACATTATATTTATAAGGGCACTGCGTAAATTAGCCACCTGTGTAAGAAAACGGCCACTTTTCTCCTCGACAATATGTGGTCGTGTAAGACAGTTTCGGCTGTATATTAAATATCTCTCACTTCCTCGCGATATGTTATATCCCGCACCGCTCGGACTGACCTGAAAATATAAGGTCGAAGCAGGCTGGCTCATAAACCTTACAAACTTTCGCTGGCGTCGAAAACACATTTACGATAGTTTTACAACCATTTCTTGTCTTGGAACAAAATATAACACTGCACCCTGCACCGCACGCTTGACAACCACCCAGTGTTTCTGTTCTGCACGTCACATTCAGATGGCAAGTGGTCGGGTGGATACTGACAAATGGACACCATATTTGTTGGTCTTTCAACAAGGGTGCTGAATTCCACTCTGCCCGGATTGACCCTAATAATTATTTATCTAAATTAAAAGCAGAACCGATATAATCAGTAAAATCAGAATCAATAAATATAAGTGACC